AAAAAAAAAAAAAAAAACCAACCCAGAAACAAAAGTAATATGCAAAAAATGCAGATTTTTCAATACTAAGGAAAAACAACATTAAAAAAAAATATGACAAAGAAGGTATCTGTGTCTAAAACTAACAAGAGAATAGTTACTAGAATATAACAACAAATGCCTGCAAACTAACAAGTGAATCATGGAAACTCCCAACAGAAAAACAGGTAAAGGACAACTCAAAGAACCATGAAGGAAACTCCCAACAGAAAAACAGGTAAAGGACAACTCAAAGAACCATGAACAATGCAAGAAATGTTTAAACTTTTAATAGTTAGAGAGATATAAATTCAAACAACAGATTAGCAAAAATTACATTACTGGATAGGGTAGTGCCAAGTTGGGTTTGTGGAGGAGATACAAGGACCCTTGTGCATTGACTCTCAGAGTGTAGATGTACAGAGCAGTTCTGAAAGAAATTTTAGTACTACTCAGTCGACTATCTTAAATACACATTTATGAATAGGTATTAACCAGCAATTCTATTGCTAGGTATATACCCCAGATGGACTCTCACACAGTATTATAAGGAACATGAAAGAGTAGCTAAGGAGGCAATATAGGTGTCTGTCCCTGGGTGAATTAAGTACAATCTGGTGAATTCCAGGCATCACAGAATACCGTGCAGGAATCAGAACCAACAGTCTATATGTCCACACAGCCACAGGCCATATAAATATATCTTTAGAAAGACAGTGTAGTTGACTATTGACCAATACGGGTTTGAAATGCACATGTCCACTTATAGGTGAATTTTTTCAATACTAATATTGCAAGATTTTTGCAGATTTGCAAGAAGTTGCAAAAAAAATTTCTCTAGCTTACTTTAAGAATATAGTAAATAATACATATACAAAATATGTGTTAACCGACTGTTTATGTTATCAGTAAGGTTTCTGGGCAACAGTAGGCTATTAGTTAAGTTTTAGGGGAGTCAAAAGTTATACATGGATTTTTTACTGCATGGGGGGTGGTTGCCTTTAATCCCAACATTGTTCAAAGGTCTCCATACTCAGCAAAAAAAAGTGAGAAACAAAGTTAAGGCTATGGCCTCATTGTCAATTAAATAAAAATGTTGTATAACAAACAACACTACATGGTTTACAAAGATAAAGACAACAAATATGTATCAAACACATTAGAATGTTTGCCTAAGGGAGCTGGAGTGAAAGCAATGGGAATAAAAGGGAATAAATAGAGAAGGGACTTGTACAACCTGGGATGACGGTGCCTTAAATGAAGTTTTTTGTGTGTTTGTTTTTAAAAAGGTGGAATTAGAAAATGGCAGAGCTAGAAGGAACCAGAGATTACCTGGGTTCACGGATTTCAACAGCGAAGACACTATTTCATAGATCAGAACAGACACGTAGCCACGAAAACAGTGAGTACTCAGTTTCCCAGTAAATTCCTGGCGTAAGAGGACTTAGAATTCCAATCTTCCAATTATCAGTCTAATGATACTTGTTTTACCATACTTCCTTTTAAATAACTCGCTGAAATAAAATTAGTGTCTTAAAAGGGCGGCGGTGGGCGGTGGGGGGGTGGTTCTTTGTATTATAACCACTGTTTTTGGACGACCAGGAGCTTTCTTGATACAGTTAATTAAGAGCTTACATCACCAACAACCTAAAGGAAAAAAGAAAGATAAAGACAACAAATATGTATCAAACACATTAGAATGTTTGCCTAAGGGAGCTGGAGTGAAAGCAATGGGAATAAAAGGGAATAAATAGAGAAGGGACTTGTACAACCTGGGATGACGGTGCCTTAAATGAAGTTTTTTGTGTGTTTGTTTTTAAAAAGGTGGAATTAGAAAATGGCAGAGCTAGAAGGAACCAGAGATTACCTGGGTTCACGGATTTCAACAGCGAAGACACTATTTCATAGATCAGAACAGACACGTAGCCACGAAAACAGTGAGTACTCAGTTTCCCAGTAAATTCCTGGCGTAAGAGGACTTAGAATTCCAATCTTCCAATTATCAGTCTAATGATACTTGTTTTACCATACTTCCTTTTAAATAACTCGCTGAAATAAAATTAGTGTCTTAAAAGGGCGGCGGTGGGCGGTGGGGGGGTGGTTCTTTGTATTATAACCACTGTTTTTGGACGACCAGGAGCTTTCTTGATACAGTTAATTAAGAGCTTACATCACCAACAACCTAAAGGAAAAAAGAAATCTTCCATATGGCAGAACCTAAAAATTATTCCCCTCACTCACATCACTCTTCCCTCTACAAGTACTCACCATGCTCTTCAAGATATGCTTGGAGTCTGTTGATGAGATCTTGTTTTATTCCCTTGGTCTCCAAACCACGAGCAAGACATTCCTGCTTTAGTTCAGCAAGCTAAGAAAGAAGAATAAAGCCTTTCCTTAGTTAACAGAATGAACCTGGTAGGAAAAAAAGAGAGGCAGTTTTCTCAAGGAAGAAAAAGAGAAGAAAGCTCAATCCCAAACTACTGCTCTTAATCCCACCAAGCCTCTGGATCCGCAAAGACAGCCCACTTCCCCTAACAATATTCTAAGATATGGTGAAGAATAAACATCCTATTTTAATGAAATCCTGATCTATTCATGCAACGATTTATTACTACAATTCTTTAGCTGTGTCTGAGATGGAAAAAAGTCTTCTCCCCTCACTTCCCAAAAATGACTGCACCAGCTAGTACTACACAGAAAAAATGAATCTTTAAGTAGAAAATCTAATTACCTAAAAGCAGATTAATTCCTCTTACTATCTGTTATCCCAGTACTAATCTATCATAAACAAACATACAAGTCTGACTACTAACTCAGGTAGATATGTTAGCTGCTTAACATCAAGTGAATAAAAGGATCTATGTGAAAAACGGAAAACTACCCAATGGCATGCCGGAGTTATGATGGTGACTTTTAAATCAGTTAGTTGACTAAACATGTAACAGGTAATGCTTATTAACTTTGTACACAATAGGAGAATTGATGGATTACTGACAGAACTAAGCTGGGCAAGGGGCTGGGAGGCGGTGATACTCCTCATGGACAATAAACTAAAATGAAGATTCAATCTAGAGAGAATAAGGTATCACTATAAAGCATTTCACTTAGATGCAAAGCTTAAATTGTTCAAAAACCAGATGAGCAAGGGCTGGCAACAGTAACTCAACAGATAACCACCTCAAGCTTTCAGATGACTGTAAGCACAAAGAGGGTGAACAGTATGATCTGTTACCAAAGTAATTTTTGGTTCCAGGTGACTGAAAAATATAATTAAATTAATTACACCATTATATTAAATGATGCAATATCCTTACTGGGTTCTATATTCCTATTTTAAGAAGCATAATAACATGCTGATCCAAGAAGAATAAGCAGGAAAAGGAAGGCTCCAGATAACCTCTATGCAGATCAGTCCACAAATAGATGTATGGCCTGAAAGAAAACTTTACTGGTTTTGGAAGTACAGATCAAGACCAACCAAAAGAAGTTAAAGCAGATTCCTACAGAAGAAAAAATTTTATAACTAAGGAAATATTGTTAGGCATCTCTAAAAGGTTTACAACCAAGGGAGCATTTAGAAATGGAGATGACAGCTTTTTCTCCCCACAACAACTGGGCAGGTGAAGCATTCAATGAGCGGGGCAGGCAGGCACGAGACTATGTAGAGAGCCATCTTTCTTCAAGAAACCAAAAGCACCCTCTATTGAGAAATATGGTAGGTGATCACCCATGAAGTGTGGAGTGGCTGCATAGCATAAGAAGGCCTCTGAGGTAAGACTACCTGGGTTCAAATTCCAGCTTTACCTTTTATAGCTGTGTTGCCTTCAGTGAGTAACTTAAACTCTTTGTGCCTGTTTCCTAAGGAGAGGGGATAATGCCAGTACCTACACCACAGGGCTGTTACGAAGATTAGGCCAGTAAATATTTGTAAAGCATTTAGAACAGTGCTTGGCAGCTAGTAACTCTAGAACAGTTTGTGTTAGTTAGACACAGGATAAAGGATTAGACAAGATTACTATCATTGCCTCTTGGATTTCTGAATTTCACTGATCAATATATATTAAAATTGGTAGACTGACTATCAACTTTTTATAATATCCCAATGAAATCATCAACTGATACTTTTGTAAAAAATAATAAAAACCAGTTACTAGAAAAATGATCATACACTTGGATGAAGCAGTGGTGTCTGCTATAAAAGTTCCTAAAAACTTACTCAACTTTTTTTACTTACCATCACTAACCATTAACAGTTCACAGCCCACCTGGCCTGCAGACAGGTCATTCAGAACAGTACAAATCTAAACTCTAAGTGATCTGTAAGGCCCATTTCTTAAGAATATTGACCTGTCCCACACTGATACTTTATTTTCTTTCAGCTTTCCGTAGAACAAGTCTTTTGATTTTAGTTATACTTTAAAAGAGTATTCTTGATTTGTCATACAAGTATTATATCCCTTGTAGAATAGCTTGAAAATTACAGAATGTACTGAGAAAAATAAGTCTTATGTAACCCTGACACTTAAGAGATCAAGTAACAGTTTAAATCACCTGCAGTATGTGTGTAGGTATGTAATACTATTTAGAGAGTGTTGGTTATTTGTTTACAAAACAATATAGCTTCTTTATTTCCTATAACTCCTAATATTCCCCCAAAGCCTCCATTCCTTTTCTCCCCTGGTTTAAATAACTTTTTTTGGTAAATATGTAGGCAATTCAAAGTTCAACTTTCTCAAAGAGTTGTTCCTTTCTCTTTCCTTCCCAAAACTGTGCCTAGATACAGGCAAAAGTTTACAAGGAACTTCGAGATGATGGATATGGAGTTTTTGCACAGGATGCTGACCCAGAATGGTCTGATCTAGACTTGGAGCTGACAAACTGGTTCAGCCGATTGTTTAGCACAGACAGCATCCACCACTGCTGATCACTGACCTTGCCACTGCCTTTGGTCACTGAAATCTCAGCCCCAACTGGTTCCCAGTCCCTAAGCCCAGGTTCACTCAGTTGTCTTCTCAGCACCATCATGTTACTTCAATTATTATATTACTCTCACACTGGGACATTATTTCAAAAGGCAAATAGATGATAACACCAAACAGCTGAAAATGAAGTCATTTCTTTTTGCACATTTCATCTCAGTACAATTACATTAGCAGATTAAAAACCTTTTGAACCCTCAAATAAGAACAAATACTAAATCTTCTTCATTTAAAATAAGCATTTAACTTTAAAATATTTTAAAAGAATGTATTTAAAAAGCAAGGCATGTTGAGTTTATTATATATGTGAATTTTACCTCAAGATTAAAAAAAATTAAAAAACACTACTGTATACAGGACACTAATGTTAATATTAGAAAATAATGCATGTGCATACCCCCTCTATGTGATGTATATACATACAGAAGCTGCCTGAACAAGAAACAGTTAACACTGGCTGAATCTGGGAAGATGCTTGTTGAGGACAATGTAAAAACCCTATACCATATGCATTTTTTAACTTTAGAATTGTGAACTTGTATATCAGTACCCTACTCAAAAATTAATTTCCTTAATTTTCAGTATCAGTGAGGCATTTTCCATTCTACCTATCCACCTACAGAGAAAGGACCAATCAATGTACCACATAATACGTTTGACACTAACCATTCACTGCCCTGTGATTTCTTCTATCTTTCTCTCTTCCCACTTTCCTCTTACCTCTCATCCTCAGCTTCCTTGCTATCTCTTCTCACACCCAACTGTGTAAATACCAATATCCACTAAGATCCCTTCTTTGGTCACCTCATTCTACTTTTATCAAAGGCTTTTTCATGTTCCAGAGTACAATCATTGGCAAATCCTGTCAGTTACCTTCAAAATACCTATATCCAGAACTTAATACCTTCTGGTCTTTCTCTTCTGCAGATTATTGTAAAAATTCTTCAGCCCCTGCACCTAATTATACTTTATCCTCAACAAGGCAGTCAGTGATTTGCAAATTTAAGTCAGAACATGTCACTCTGCTATTTGAAAATCCTCCACTCCTTCACCTCCTTCAGATCTTTTCTTAAACATCAGCTTCTCAGTGAGGCCTTCCCTAGTCACCCTGGTTAAAATTAAAATCCCCTTCTTTCCACTGTACTCTCTACCCCCTTTCCTATTTTTTTTCTACAGACCATTATCATTATTCAACATACTATATAAATTTTATTTATTGTACCTTCCCCCAGTAAAATAGAAGCTCCATGACAGCAAGAATTGTCTGCTTTGTTCACCACTACAACCCCACCACCTATAGTAGCTGACATATGGTAGGCACTTCTTTTTTTTTTTTTAATGAGTTCTAAACCTTTATTATCAGCTCTCAGCTCCTGAGCAGAAGACACACTTTTCCGACTGACTACTAAACATCTCCAAGTGCATGTCCTAAAGATGCTTTCACCCAACACTGAAGTTACCTTTTCTCCTACAGAAAACGGGCTGTTTTTCTTCCTTTCAACCTAGACTAAAGGTATCACTACTCAAACCTTTAAGTCATCTTTCATTCCTCCCATATCTAAATGACTTATAAATAACTTAAAATTCAAAATTTCTTTCAGATTCAGTCCCATTTTAATAGATATTACCTTTTTTTCAGGTCTTACTAAGTTTATTCGCTTGATGAATAGTTTTTGAGTACCTATTACACAGCAAGCATTATTTTAGGTACAATAATCATAAACAAAACAGAAAGAATTCTTGCCCACATGGAGTTTACAATCTAGTACAGAAACAAGGCAATCAATTTTCATATACATAATGTTTAACTGATTTTTTTTTTAAGTACAGGGTCCTATGACAGCATATAAGAAAGTAGTTTGACCATGGGTGTGGATAGGAAGAACCTATCATAAAGAGTTCCTTGGGTAAATCATGTTTGGTATCTGAAGGGCAACTAGCAGTTGACAGAGGTGAAGAGGACAGGGCTGGCAGGAGCACTGCCACCAGAAGTATGAATAAAGGTTCTGGGTTCTGAGGTAAAAAGAGAGGCAGTGGTGAACATGAATTCTGGAGACAGATGACTTGGATTTCAGCTATCACTTCTTAGCTTTGAAACCTAGGGCAACTTAGTTGATCTATCTCAGCTTCCACTTTTTTCTCATTTTGAAATGGAGGCATTTACCTGATGCAATTACTGTGAGAATTACATCAGTTAAAGTATATAAATAGTTTTGACCAAGGCTTGCCACACAGTAAATGCTATGTAAGTGTACAAATTTGAACACAGTAATTCTGAGGAAAGAAATAAAGCCACTATGTTTAGAGTTTAAGAAACTAAGCTGGAGAGATTGGTAGGGATATAGTTAAAAGGCTTTACACAGGGTAGTGCTACTGTATTAAAAATCTAACTGGCACAGCAGCTCCTTCCAAATTTCCAAAGGCTCCCAACTTTCTGCCTACGTGACAAAAACTATATGCCTTACACAACTTAAAAGGCCTTTTTCAATATCACTCCAATCTTCTTTTACAGTCACACAGTTGACCTACTTTCCTTTCCAAACTGCCGTCTACCACCAATATATATGTGCTTTATGCTTCAGTATCACAAAAGTCTCACTGTTCTTAACACTGGCTGTGTACACCCTTCTCAATCTGTCCTCTGCTGTAGTCCTCTTTCTCACCATTGACTGGAAATCTGGTACTATTACCAGTTCAACACATTTTCACCCACAACTCAGTTTCTCTTTCCAACTGTATTAGAATGACTGCATTTCTACAAAATCTTCAGAAATTTGCAGTTGTGATATGTGTACTTACATATCAATTCAGACAGATCATTTCCTTCCTATGTTGAAACTTATTCCTTTCTTCTGAGATCCCATACTGAAGTCCCAAATTCTCTTTATAAATATGGAAAGAATTTTTTAAAAGGAGATAAAACCAAAAGTCAGGATCACTCCATCATCACAGATGAAACAAACACTATCTTGGAAGTCAGAATTAAAGGCATGGGCTCTTAACCAGAAGTCCATGGAATCCTCAGGGCTACAAGGTAATTTTATGAAGCCCCCTCAAATCACATGCAAAGTACACGCACGTGCCTTTTCCTGGGAAGAGGGTCCTACCTTTCATCAGAGTTTCAAAGGTATCTGTGACCTCCAAAAGGTTAAGTACTCTAGAAAAAAAGCAAAGACAAGCAAATGTGATTACAAGAGTGAATCCTTTTAAGCTGTGAGGAGTGCCTCATGTTCTCTTAAACTGTAATACCTGAAATCAGGTCAGAGGACTTTATGCAATCAAAATCAAATTTAGTATAGACCTGAAAAAATACAGGTTTTATGGAAGGAGGAAGTCCATAAGCCAATATAAAATCTGTTAAGTCACAAACAAGGCTGGTAACTTATTCCAGGGGTTTCAAAAATGGGACTAATAGGAAGGAAATATTCAATCTTCCAGTTATGTTTCTTTTTTATCTCCATTCAAAAATTACTTTCCTGTGTATGGTTTATAACATACAGTAACACAATTAATATAAATTAAGTATACGTATAATGGAGATGGTTGCCCTTTTTTTTTTTACTTGACCACTGATCTAATCTACTCATTTCAATACCACCAAGCCCACAGTAGCTCCAGTTAACACAAAACCCATTAAAATCCAAGAGTAAGAGCTCCACCAACTTGCACAGAAAGGCTAACTGGTGTCAACTAATAACTGAATAAGGACCTCTCCTTACCCTTACTCTCCTTGAGGTTTATTTATTTACTTACTTATTTTAAGCTCATCAACATTTAAAGGATCAGTTTTCAGCTTCAGCTCAACCAGCCTGGTTCGTCCAAGGTTCCCAGGATGATGTGACCAAAGACCACAAACCACTTATGAACCAGAAATGGACAACTAATCAAGATACGCTCTTAATTCACCCTAAAAGAAACCACTCTTTTCTTCCATGAAAATAAACCTAAATGTGAGAAAGCTAAAAAATTCCCAAGCGCCACAATTTAAAACAGCTTCTGTGATTGAGAGTGTCACCCAGTGGTGACACCAAGAGATGCAGGGTCCATTTGCGATATGAAATGGGAAAGGGCTAAGCCTAAGCTTGGAAATGTTTTTCCAAGATGCGGGTGACTTGTCTCTCTGGCGGTAGAGCTTAAATTCGGGGAGGCAGGGAGAGGAGGCTGGAGGACGGAGAACCACGAGAGAAAACTTGAAAAACTTAAATTCGAAATATCTGTGTCTTTACTTACTCTTAAAGTCTCCTAACCCCCAGGCTTCCAAGGGAAGGCCTCTATCTTAAGAGGTCTCTGCTCAGGTTTCACAGTTCGCCCCGGGGGCGTATACCCACTTAAAAAGGGCGGAAGCATTTTCTGGATTATGTATGAGACCTAGTTTGAGAGAAATACACAATGGTGTCGCCATCTGCTAACGGGACTCTCAGCTCTGGACAAGATAGAGCATCAACTCAGCGAAGCATGAGGGGTCCTGGGCTCGGCGTGGGGCAGATGAGGGGACCACTGATGTAATGCAGCTCTGACGAAGAGAAACGAGAAGGGAGTTAAGGGAAGGCACTTACACAACCAGGTGGGGAAATGACGGACGATATAACGGCTAGGAAGGGAGCCGAAATAACAAGATTCAGGGAAACGGTGGAGAAACAGGAAATCAGGAAAGGCGTAGTGAGGAAGAAGGGAAGCACAAAAGGAGAGGACTACAGCAGGAGCCGTAAAACGAAGTGGAAAAGCATGCAAGATGAATACGTAGGGAAAGCTGCTAGCCTCCCAGCGGACTTAAGTCCCTAGAAAAGTCCAACTGAGCCCCCACCCCGCTCACGGTACCTTCAGCTTATGGAGCTCCACTGCCTCCGCCGCCATCTTGCTGCGCCTCCACTCCACTCGGCCCCCACCCGCGGCCGCCGCCGCCGCCGCCGGGAGCTCCCGCCCAGGCCCAGGCAGCCAAGGCTGACCAATCGTCGTCACTCTTACTCGCACCTCGAACCATCAACTCTCCCCATTAGGCAGGAGCTGGCGTCTCTCCCACAACTTTCCCCACCTCTCTCAGAAGGTGGAGCCGGGAGAAAGCCTCCTTCTACACCTTCCGGACGGAAGTGGCGGCCAATTGTGCGTCTCCACTGCAGATCGCTAACTAATGGGAGGGGAGCACTGATCCTGTTCCTCCAATAAGGAGAGGGCAGGGGGGACGAGGGCGGCTGCTTCCGGGAGACCGCAGGTGTGGCGGCGAACGTCGCTCACTGAGCCGGACGGGCTTCTCAAGGTGGCAGGTAGGGGATGCCGGGACACTGGAATGGGGTGGTGGGTAAAGTGTTCGGAGGCGACGGCGTGAGACGGGGGCGGCGGCGGCTTAAATACGGAGAGAGACGCTCTGAAGAGAGCCCGGAGAAGAACCGATGAACAGAGTAGGAAGGAAGCTGGGAGGAACGGGGGTGGGTGGGCTCAATACTAGGGTTCAAGGCATTTTTAGGTAGAAAGGGTGAACAAATACTGCTTTCTAACTAGGTGTCAGCTTTAGGGCTAGCACGATTTTAAAGGGCCAAGTTAAGACGATTAGAACCGCCCCTGCAGTCGGGCTTAGGACTCCCTGCTCTCAAGACGCTGAGCTCAGCTCTCCTATCTCAGTCTAAAAATCCCAGAACAAGGTTCTTGCAGCGCTCCTCGTTTGAGAGGAGGATTGGGATGCTGACTATTTACTTGGCCAAGGGGGTGAGAGACAAGGACGAGCAAGCCCCCGAGGAAAAGGTAGACATCAGTAATAGCTTTACCCCACCCCTTTTTAGTGGTTCCTTGATTGTTTCCTATGACTCTCTTACGGAATTCCGGGTGTATGTGACCCCCAATAATTCCTTATTTACTTCTTGAGTCAAGTAAAGTGAGGTACGTCGATTTCCCTTGCTGCTAAGGTAAGTGCCGCCAAGCCTAGGCTTACTCCTTCAAGTTATAGTTTAAGTGTAAAGATCACAGTAAATACTACCATCCTTAAGATGTGGAGAGGATTCTTTTTGCCTTTTTTTTTCTCCCAAGTAGTTTTTCCTTTGTGCATGATTGGAGATAGAATTCAGGGGGATTTTAGGTATTCATGAGACAACTGGAGGGAACAAACTCGAATATGAGTGGAGAAGAAACTGAGTTGGACTCCTGCCTGATCCCTGGTTATGGTAGGATGAATGTTGGGGTGGCACACAGCGAAGTAAAACCCAACACATGAGTGATGAATAGTCGTGGTGTCTGGCAGGCCTACATCATTTTGGTAGGACTGCTGCATGTGGTTTTACTCAGCATCCCCTTCTTCAGCATTCCTGTTGTCTGGACCCTAACCAACGTCATCCATAACTTGGTGAGCACTAAACCATGCCCTTACACCTGCCCCAGGTCTTTCCCAACCAAAAATAATATATTATTTGGGAATGTATGTCTTCCTTTGGGGATCTTAGCATAACTCTTGAGCTGAATGACTCCTTTTTGTACCCTCACGCTGCCCCCTTCTCTCCTTCTAGACTATGTATGTCTTCCTACATACAGTGAAAGGGGCATCCTTTGAGACTCCTGACCAAGGAAAGGCTCAGCTACTGACACACTGGGAACAGATGGACTACAGGCTCCAATTTACCTCTTCCCGCAAATTCCTCAGCATCTCTCCTTTTGTCCTGTGAGTCCAAGGGAGACTTAAGGGATGTTCCAAGAGGCAGGTACAAAGGTCCACAGGGGAAGCTTTAAAAAAGCAAACTATTTACTTAGACCCTTTGAAGACACTATGGTATATGAGGTCTAAGTCTAGGTGGGAAGCAATAAAAAATAGAAGACACTACTCAAGCATTTTGTGCTGTCTCCTTGATGGTAGGGGAAGGGAAAAGAGACTGAGAAAATAAAATGCTAAGTAAAACGAAGTGACTTTACATTTCCAAAAGCAGAACTGATGTAAAGCTGTGAAAACTTGACTGTGGGGAGTGGAAGCAAAGAGGATTCCAACAGTCATACAGGCCGAAACTGCTTCAGCTGCCATTTGCCACGTCATTAACAATTTAGAAACACACAACTAACATAAGTTAGTTAAAGGTACTATCTGATTTTCTCCCCAACCCCAAAGTATATACTGTTAATATAACTGGAATATTTTCAGATATCCTAAGATTCATGCAGTATAATTGGTCATTTAAAATAGAAGGTAAAGTCCCTGGAGAGGCATGAATACACATAGGGAGAGCCAAGGCCAACCAACTTCAACCTACTTCTTCTCTCTCCAGCTACCTCCTGGTCAGCTTCTACACTAAGTATGACTGCTCACTTCCTCGTCAACACAGCCTCACTGCTCACCGTACTGCTGCCTAAGCTGCCCCAATTCCATGGGGTTCATCTTTTTGGCGTCAACAAATACCGAGGGATGGACCTGGGGATTACATTGGAACAAAGGGTTGTATCATCCTTCCCAGACTTCCAGGAAGAGAACACATTGGAAGATGGAACTCTGTGGGCCCAGCCCTACTAGGAGCAGCTTTCTTTTAATCAGGAAAGGCAGGTGAGGTAAGGGCTAAATCACCTCCTCCACAGCAAAAAGCCATGTTTGGGTAACTTATTTGGAGCAAGTGTTTCCATTCCCCTCACCTTCCAAGTCTGTTTTGCTGCGTATTTTCCTCATAATAAAGATAATCTTTTTCAGATATGGCTACAGTTTGGTCAGCAAAAAGGATAGGGAAATGTCTTCATAAGGCTGGGGGAAAAAAATGGAAGTGATTTACTACACAAAACTTCTCTAAGGTATTTTTTATCCCCTCTTCCTTGGTCCAGTAGGAGGTGCCCCTTCACTCTCAGATAACTTAGGAAAAAAAGATTCTCCAGTGAGAAAAAAGGCTGCAGCCATAGGGGCAAAGAAAAGAGGGAAGATACAGGTTGTCAGTTGTGTATTTATAGAAAGATAATCCCCTGGCTTTAAATAGATATGTACATACAAATATGAATAAACTTAAAAAAATACAAACCCTTGGATCTTAAGGGGGCTGCCAGAAGCCCCTTTATCCTTCCCCCTCAACCAAGGGCAGAGGGGATGAGTCTACTGTTTAAAAAGTATTAGTTTTGGCGATCCTGCAGCAACAAGCAAGTTGGGTGATCACCCACAAGCTGAAAGAGGAAAAACTCGAGAGTTCCCACACTGAACTATATATAATGTATGTCCTACATTTAGGACTAGATGCTTTCTTGTTCTTTTAACTAGTATATTGGAGGAAAGGAGGAGGCTCCCTCCTGAAATGGGTCAAGAAAATCAGGCAGACCTGTCGTTGAAAAAGAGAAGCAGAAGACAAGACAAAGGCATACAGAACCAAGGGAAATACCCAGTTACCACACTACTATGGGAGATGCTGTCCAGCCCAGGCCCGAGGTCCTTTGCTCTAGCCATCCCCTTTTCTTTGGTATTGTCAGAAGACAAGATTCAGTTTCTGGGTGCTGATGGAGGAGGGAGAGTGCTTCCAGGACTTCCTACAAGTACTGAGTTAACAATCTGAGTTTAAATTTTTCCCTTTTTTAAATATTAAAAAATAAACAAGTCAAACTCCAACCTGTGCTGTACACAGCCCTTTTGACTCCCTGACATTGATTTGAGGAAAGAAAAGAAGGGGTGTCAACGTTGGAAGGGCCTCCTCACTTTCTTCCGCCGCTTGGGTTTGGCTTCTCCCTTGGGTACTGTGCTGTTGGGCTTGGAGGCTGCAGTGGCCCCAGGGCCAGGCTGAGGAGCTGCAAAGAAGTTCCCATTGGACATCTGGCCTGGGGGTACTTGAAAGATCCGACTCAAAAAATCCTGAAAGTCAGCAGGAGGGGCATCTGAGGTGGCTCTTTGAGGAAAAAAGAAGAAATAATGAGGCAAGAGATACCTTATGGCTACCCATAAGACCCATGTTTTAAAGACAGACTGACTCAGCTGCAAACTTAATAAACGGTGAGACATCTAGGTGTCCTAAACAGCATGTCATCTGAACCCACATTCAGAACTAAAAGGGTAGATTATAGAAGGCAATACCACCTACCTCTGCCGTCCACTGGTGCCTGGGATCCGAGAACCAAATGAGATGTGATAGGGGACCCTGTGGGTATCTGGGGAGATGCCTACACGCTGGCATCCAGCCCACTCTGAAAGCACAGAAATAATTAGCCAAAATACCACAGTTTTGTGTATATATGAGCCCATATTTCTAGAGGACAGTGTACCTGTGATGTCATACACCTTTCCATCCATCAGTGCAAAGTAGGTGATCTTGAGGCCCAACATACTGGACTCTGCCCAAAAGTCTCCTTCCTCAGCAGGATGCATCCTATTACACTCAGCACAGTATCTGGCACTCTTAGCTTCCCGATCCATTTCAAACCTCCTGCAACCCAACAAAAGGATAATTCCTTGGAATCAGGAGCCAAGATGATGGTGTGAGTAGGGCAGCAGAAATCTCTTCCCAAAACCACATATACTTTTGAAAATACAACAAATACAACTATGCCTAAAAGAGAGACGAGGATACAGTACAACACCCAGGCTACATCTACATCTGTGAGAACTCAGCATCTCACGAAGGGGGTAAGATACAGGCCGTGACTCAGTGGGACTCAAGTGCTCCCCAGACCCCAGCTCACCGGCAGGAGGAAAGGAATCAGAGTGGGGAGGAAGTGGAAGTGCAGGACTGCTAAATACCCAGCCCTAATAATCCGCACCAGGAGTGCAGACACATTGCATTGTGGGCTGGATATTAAGGAACTGGAAAAGTAAAATTGGCGAGCGGGTCCCTCCCCCCCTCCAGCCAGCTCCCCTGGGACAAAAGAAAAGCGAGTGCTTTTTGAAAGTCTTAAAGGGACAGGGGCTTCATTCACAGCTGGACAGAATCTTCCCAGCACACTCAGCCCAGCAGGCTGGGAATTCTGAGGAGCTTTGGGTGCCCCAGCCCCCTGGAAGGCAGCGCAGCTCTGAAGCCCCTCATGGCAATAAACAGCCTGCCATTCATTCCCCCTCCGGCGCGCCCCACCACAGCAGCAGAGCAGCCTGAGAGTGGCCATGCCCACAGCAGCTACCCAGAGTCTCCTCCCAGCGTGCAGCCACCCAAGCCAGACCCAGGGACCGCCACTGCCAGCGTGTGACCGCCACTGCCAGCGTGTGGCTGCCGGCGCAGGCAGAGGAAGCTGGGACAGTGCAAAGGGGTGCCATTCTCGCAGGAGAGCACAACCAGCCCTCCTGCCACTCCCCATAGGGCTCTGGGCTACCCCGAGGGCTGCTCCTGGTGTGCAGGTAGCTGACACAAGCAGTGGAGAGAGGCAGGGCAACCAGCAAGCAGGAAGGGACTTTGTTCTCCCAGCTGACACACATACCACCTGCCTACGACTACCTCTATTGCCATGAAAAGGCAGAAGAATTTGGTTCAGTCCAGGATTACCCAGACAACCCCGAGAGAGGGCCTGGGGAGACGGATATAACCAATCTTCCTGAAAAAAGAATTCAAAATAAAGGTCATAACCATGCTGATGGACCTGCAGAGAAATATGCAAGAGCTAAATTAGGAGGGAGAATACAGAAATAAAACAATCTCTGGAAGGACTTGAGAGCACTGGATGAGGTGCAAGAGACCATTAATGGAATCAATATCAGAGAACAGGAATACAGAGAAGCTGAGGCAGAGAGAGATAAAAGGATCTCCAGAAATGAAAGAATATTAAGAGAATGTGTGACCAATCCAAATGGAACAATATTCACATTATAGGGCTACCAGAAGAAGAGAGAGAAGAAGGGATAGAAAGTGTCTTTGAAGAAATAATTGCTGAAAAGGATAACTCCTTGATAATCTGTCAAGCCTACAGCACTGCCGTGTCTCACCATTGCTGACAGGATGAAACATTAAAAACTAGCTCCATACTTAAGTTTATTGCATATGCCTACATACACTGTGCCCTCAACTTTCCATATTAAAGCTAAAAATACTTTTTTTTTCTTACTGCTAATTCAAAACCCCAGTCTCTTGACAATATGGCAGAGGTCTTTTTCTCAGGGTCTTACATTCTGTACCCCACAATACCAGTAACACACAGAAGGTCTTTGGCTACCCAGTCCCTACAGTGTGGCTGTCCCATTCCTGTCCTGTTTCATACCTATGCTTTCCCTGGCATCGGCTGCACATCATAGTATTCATTGCCTCTTTGAGGTCATCTTGCAGCTTGGACAGAAACTCATTCACTGACCGGCTCAGCTCATTATCTGCCATTCGTTTCCTGAGAGAAGAAAGGCTTTGTAAATAACAGTATTGAGCAAGGGACAAAAGGAAACAGATCTATTGGCCTCTTGAGGCCTCTGGCCAACTAGAAAGACAAGCAACTTCAGTTCTCTGCCTCAGAGGGCCTCTATCCACAAGTCCAGGGACATCTGCTTTTGAAGATTATTCATTCACCCCACCTGACAATTTCCCATCTTCAACTTACATCTCGTATTCCTTTCGCCTTTCAGGGTTGCCGACAATGTCCCAAGCTGCCCGCAAAACTTTGAAGGCCTCCTCAGCTCGGGGATGATGATTTTTATCAGGATGAACCTACCAAGACAAAAGATTTCACCACAAATCCATTCCAACCCTCTCCCTATCTTGGGTCAAAATAACCTTTTACAAAGGTTACATTTCTCACCACTCTTGGAGTCAAAATAAGTTAATAATTAACTGCGAGAACTGAGTTCAAGTCCCACCTCTGTCACTAATAGCTATGTGACCTAGAATATGGTACCTATCATGGATTGTTGGGAATATTAAGTGACAATACATGTGACGTATACACCACAGAGTATAGCACAAGGGTGAGCCACCATCCCTGTGTGCCTGGGACTGTCCCAGTTTTAGAAGAGTTCATGTCTCAGGAAATTCCTCAATCCCAGGCAAACAGGGATGGTTGGTCCACCCTATCTGACACATGCATACCAAGCCCTCACATTTTAACTTTATTATCAGGCATAAAGTAAGAGTTCCGAACATACTACATCCTCAAACTCATTCTTTTCTACCTAGAAAACTCTAATATGTACTCAAAACTTCCTACAATAGTTTGCCTTTCTATCCCAGAAATGAAATAGCATATCATGAACCTCAACAGGTTTCTTATCCCCTTTTCAGGCCCTTGTCCAAGATAAATGATATTCTCACTTCCTATAGCTTCCTCAACCTCCTCATTCTCATCCTCATTCCCCCCAAAAACAGAAATAAAGCTGGTCTACTGACTGATGCCAAATAAACAGAATGCTGTTAAATCTCCCACGTTCCCAAGCTTATAGACCAGCCTTTCAGTCATGGTCACTATGGGGCCTCATAAAGGAAGTGAGAGGTTCTATAAAAGGAGACCACAGACATTCTGGCCCAGAACAAGGGAGAACTTTCGGGCTTGGGGCAGGTGCATTGAAGAACTATAAACTACATCTCTGCTCCAAGAAAGTTAAATTGAAAATAAGAATTTTTGTAATAATGATACACCTGGAGAATGGTATTCCCCAAGAGAAGGTATCTTCTAAAAGACATGAAGGTGACAAAAAGAGCTGTCTATTAGTAACAATTTGAGTGTAAGCACTAAAAACAATTTTTTGTTTCCACATTCTTAAGAATATCCCAGGCTATTCACTTAAGCATGTATTTCCCATCAAACTAATTTGGTCCTCTGGTAGTTACTAGCCTGGTACTTTATTGTGCCTTGAAGGGTTAATGGAAACCATAGTTGCACCACTCTTTGGCATCACCCAACTGTTGAGGTAATGTGCACGTTGTGGTATTTTTCTAGTCTGGACCTCCAATGCAACTTACACACATTACTTATATTCATAATGTAATTTTACTTGTACAGAAGGAACAGTATCATACGTAAAAATTGCAACCTAGTATCTACTTCTAGTAGCAATTTGCATGCTTGTGTTAAACCTATTTCCTCAGCTTAAGGTGTATCACACCTCCCACCTGTGCCCCCCTCATCAATAAAAGCAACTTTATCTTCATGTATGACATACTTATCATATGCCTCTCTATGCACATACCTCTCTATGACTTATATTCTATTCCCCTTCCCTTTCTTACTCTAGATTGCTGGTCTTGGCATAGCTTTTCCTTCACCTGTTCCTGGAATAATCACTCACACATGCACCTCCTGGACCTTCCAACACCAGGTCTACACTTGGCGCCATGGACAGATAATTGGATTTCCCTGTGTTCAGAATGCTCTCACTTGTTCAGGAAAGAGGAGCTAACAGTCTCTCTGAAGAGGCCTCTTCTCCACCCTGGCCAGAGGAACTTCACCTGGATATTCCAGGGTGTGTGAGTCCAACACTGCCTGATAAACCAGGTTCATTTCTTTTTCATTAAGAAAAAGAATGTCATGACAACTTAGACAAAAAGGTAAGAAATCAAGTGAGAGCCATATTTTATAGTAGACAGTAAAGCCTTTATGATTCTTTCCTAAGAATTAAAATCATTCTTCAGCTTCAAGCTTTCTACTCTGCCTTCTCTTTATTCTACTCTCCCTAAAATTAGAATAGAAAATAAAATACAGGAACAAAAACAGAACAGGAAACAGGAAGATACTCACCATCACAGCCAGCTGCCTGTAGGCCTTTTTCAGTTCAACATCTGATGCGGTGGTTTCAACCCCCAACACATAGAAAGGGTTTAGCTCATCCTCAGGAACCCCAACCATGGTCAAGAGTCGAGTCACTTCCTCTTCAGGCTGGCAGTAGGGACCACCAGCTACAGGTGCATTCCCCTGCCTATTACTCATCTGCTTGACCCAAGGAAACTCCAGCCAACCCCACTGAACCATTTTTACCAGCTGCTGCCATGGCCTGCTATCTCTTAGCAGAATCAGGCAACGCTGCAAAGTGGGAGTATCCACCCAAGAGAAGAGCCATGTTGCTCTACCCCTCCAGCCTAACCGGTCACCCAATCCCATCAGGAACCGCCAGCCTAACTGGAGACAGCCCAACAAGAGAGCCAGGGCCAAGAGCAGCAAAGCACCCAACAGCCTAAGAACATGGGTGAACAACCCTGCCCCACAGCAAAACCCCTGGCTGAGAAACTGGAACATCACCTGGGCCCAGCCCCACAACCGCCCTGCCCAGACTCCCACCCAGACTCGAAAAAGGTCCAGGTCACTGCCTTTCAGCTGCCTGCATGCATAGATGATATGGCCACAAGCTTCCACATACTCTCCCACCAGAACCAGCAGTTCAATCAGCCACCAGAAGCCTGCCTGTCCAAGCTGACACAGTTCTTCTGCTCCCCACAATCCTAGGCCTCTGCGCTTATCTGCCTGACTTCGCTTCCGGCCCAGCCGATGTCGCCCAGGGGGCCTGGGATCTCTGCGTCCACCCTCCCGAGTATCCTCCTTGGCTGGAAGACGGTGCCGCTGTCTCCGTGGTGGTTTCTTCTCACTGGTCACACGTGAAAAATCACTGGGGAACTTAGGAGGTTCCTCCTCATCATATTCCTCTTCCAATTCTTCATCTTCCCCCACAGCTGGAGAGGTACAATGGTGGCAAAAATTGCTAGAAGAGCTCTCTCCTCCCTCAGAGTAAGGCCCTTCAGGGACTTCAGGGGTTCCCTGGCAGTGGCAAGCAGATGGAATGGAAAGAAAAGAAGGGTTCCCATCTTCCTGGTACCCAGTCTCATTCTCTCTTGAGAGTTCCTGGTCCACTCCAGACTCTTCTTCTGAAGATGCCTCACTCTGATCAGGGTCCTCTCCATCCCCAGGGGGTCCTGGGCCCCTTGGGGGGCCATGGCTTGGATCCGACCAATGGGCTGGGTTTGGCGGCTGTGTGTACTTAGTACTAGAGTGCTCTGGGAGGCAGCGGGTACCATTAGGAGCAGACCCCTGTGAGTCCCTGAGTCCTGAGGATGAAAGTATTTCAGGGTCCACAGAGAGTCCTGAAGTCCTTAGGGAGGCACCACCACTGTGGTGGGCTCTACACAACCCTCTTTCTCCAGGGTGCTTCTGGGCCATGACCCCGAGGTTTCCTAAGGATTTTAGGTCACAGCCATCATGGTAAATTCTGANAATCTGAGTTTAAATTTTTCCCTTTTTTAAATATTAAAAAATAAACAAGTCAAACTCCAACCTGTGCTGTACACAGCCCTTTTGACTCCCTGACATTGATTTGAGGAAAGAAAAGAAGGGGTGTCAACGTTGGAAGGGCCTCCTCACTTTCTTCCGCCGCTTGGGTTTGGCTTTTCCCTTGGGTACTGTGCTGTTGGGCTTGGAGGCTGCAGTGGCCCCAGGGCCAGGCTGAGGAGCTGCAAAGAAGTTCCCATTGGACATCTGGCCTGGGGGTACTTGAAAGATCCGACTCAAAAAATCCTGAAAGTCAGCAGGAGGGGCATCTGAGGTGGCTCTTTGAGGAAAAAAGAAGAAATAATGAGGCAAGAGATACCTTATGGCTACCCATAAGACCCATGTTTTAAAGACAGACTGACTCAGCTGCAAACTTAATAAACGGTGAGACATCTAGGTGTCCTAAACAGCATGTCATCTGAACCCACATTCAGAACTAAAAGGGTAGATTATAGAAGGCAATACCACCTACCTCTGCCGTCCACTGGTGCCTGGGATCCTAGAACCAAATGAGATGTGATAGGGGACCCTGTGGGTATCTGGGGAGATGCCTACACGCTGGCATCCAGCCCACTCTGAAAGCACAGAAATAATTAGCCAAAATACCACAGTTTTGTGTATATATGAGCCCATATTTCTAGAGGACAGTGTACCTGTGATGTCATACACCTTTCCATCCATCAGTGCAAAGTAGGTGATCTTGAGGCCCAACATACTGGACTCTGCCCAAAAGTCTCCTTCCTCAGCAGGATGCATCCTATTACACTCAGCACAGTATCTGGCACTCTTAGCTTCCCGATCCATTTCAAACCTCCTGCAACCCAACAAAAGGATAATTCCTTGGAATCAGGAGCCAAGATGATGGTGTGAGTAGGGCAGCAGAAATCTCTTCCCAAAACCACATATACTTTTGAAAATACAACAAATACAACTATGCCTAAAAGAGAGACGAGGATACAGTACAACACCCAGGCTACATCTACATCTGTGAGAACTCAGCATCTCACGAAGGGGGTAAGATACAGGCCGTGACTCAGTGGGACTCAAGTGCTCCCCAGACCCCAGCTCACCGGCAGGAGGAAAGGAATCAGAGTGGGGAGGAAGTGGAAGTGCAGGACTGCTAAATACCCAGCCCTAATAATCCGCACCAGGAGTGCAGACACATTGCATTGTGGGCTGGATATTAAGGAACTGGAAAAGTAAAATTGGCGAGCGGGTCCCTCCCCCCCTCCAGCCAGCTCCCCTGGGACAAAAGAAAAGCGAGTGCTTTTTGAAAGTCTTAAAGGGACAGGGGCTTCATTCACAGCTGGACAGAATCTTCCCAGCACACTCAGCCCAGCAGGCTGGGAATTCTGAGGAGCTTTGGGTGCCCCAGCCCCCTGGAAGGCAGCGCAGCTCTGAAGCCCCTCATGGCAATAAACAGCCTGCCATTCATTCCCCCTCCGGCGCGCCCCACCACAGCAGCAGAGCAGCCTGAGAGTGGCCATGCCCACAGCAGCTACCCAGAGTCTCCTCCCAGCGTGCAGCCACCCAAGCCAGACCCAGGGACCGCCACTGCCAGCGTGTGACCGCCACTGCCAGCGTGTGGCTGCCGGCGCAGGCAGAGGAAGCTGGGACAGTGCAAAGGGGTGCCATTCTCGCAGGAGAGCACAACCAGCCCTCCTGCCACTCCCCATAGGGCTCTGGGCTACCCCGAGGGCTGCTCCTGGTGTGCAGGTAGCTGACACAAGCAGTGGAGAGAGGCAGGGCAACCAGCAAGCAGGAAGGGACTTTGTTCTCCCAGCTGACACACATACCACCTGCCTACGACTACCTCTATTGCCATGAAAAGGCAGAAGAATTTGGTTCAGTCCAGGATTACCCAGACAACCCCGAGAGAGGGCCTGGGGAGACGGATATAACCAATCTTCCTGAAAAAAGAATTCAAAATAAAGGTCATAACCATGCTGATGGACCTGCAGAGAAATATGCAAGAGCTAAATTAGGAGGGAGAATACAGAAATAAAACAATCTCTGGAAGGACTTGAGAGCACTGGATGAGGTGCAAGAGACCATTAATGGAATCAATATCAGAGAACAGGAATACAGAGAAGCTGAGGCAGAGAGAGATAAAAGGATCTCCAGAAATGAAAGAATATTAAGAGAATGTGTGACCAATCCAAATGGAACAATATTCACATTATAGGGCTACCAGAAGAAGAGAGAGAAGAAGGGATAGAAAGTGTCTTTGAAGAAATAATTGCTGAAAAGGATAACTCCTTGATAATCTGTCAAGCCTACAGCACTGCCGTGTCTCACCATTGCTGACAGGATGAAACATTAAAAACTAGCTCCATACTTAAGTTTATTGCATATGCCTACATACACTGTGCCCTCAACTTTCCATATTAAAGCTAAAAATACTTTTTTTTTCTTACTGCTAATTCAAAACCCCAGTCTCTTGACAATATGGCAGAGGTCTTTTTCTCAGGGTCTTACATTCTGTACCCCACAATACCAGTAACACACAGAAGGTCTTTGGCTACCCAGTCCCTACAGTGTGGCTGTCCCATTCCTGTCCTGTTTCATACCTATGCTTTCCCTGGCATCGGCTGCACATCATAGTATTCATTGCCTCTTTGAGGTCATCTTGCAGCTTGGACAGAAACTCATTCACTGACCGGCTCAGCTCATTATCTGCCATTCGTTTCCTGAGAGAAGAAAGGCTTTGTAAATAACAGTATTGAGCAAGGGACAAAAGGAAACTGATCTATTGGCCTCTTGAGGCCTCTGGCCAACTAGAAAGACAAGCAACTTCAGTTCTCTGCCTCAGAGGGCCTCTATCCACAAGTCCAGGGACATCTGCTTTTGAAGATTATTCATTCACCCCACCTGACAATTTCCCATCTTCAACTTACATCTCGTATTCCTTTCGCCTTTCAGGGTTGCCGACAATGTCCCAAGCTGCCCGCAAAACTTTGAAGGCCTCCTCAGCTCGGGGATGATGATTTTTATCAGGATGAACCTACCAAGACAAAAGATTTCACCACAAATCCATTCCAACCCTCTCCCTATCTTGGGTCAAAATAACCTTTTACAAAGGTTACATTTCTCACCACTCTTGGAGTCAAAATAAGTTAATAATTAACTGCGAGAACTGAGTTCAAGTCCCACCTCTGTCACTAATAGCTATGTGACCTAGAATATGGTACCTATCATGGATTGTTGGGAATATTAAGTGACAATACATGTGACGTATACACCACAGAGTATAGCACAAGGGTGAGCCACCATCCCTGTGTGCCTGGGACTGTCCCAGTTTTAGAAGAGTTCATGTCTCAGGAAATTCCTCAATCCCAGGCAAACAGGGATGGTTGGTCCACCCTATCTGACACATGCATACCAAGCCCTCACATTTTAACTTTATTATCAGGCATAAAGTAAGAGTTCCGAACATACTACATCCTCAAACTCATTCTTTTCTACCTAGAAAACTCTAATATGTACTCAAAACTTCCTACAATAGTTTGCCTTTCTATCCCAGAAATGAAATAGCATATCATGAACCTCAACAGGTTTCTTATCCCCTTTTCAGGCCCTTGTCCAAGATAAATGATATTCTCACTTCCTATAGCTTCCTCAACCTCCTCATTCTCATCCTCATTCCCCCCAAAAACAGAAATAAAGCTGGTCTACTGACTGATGCCAAATAAACAGAATGCTGTTAAATCTCCCACGTTCCCAAGCTTATAGACCAGCCTTTCAGTCATGGTCACTATGGGGCCTCATAAAGGAAGTGAGAGGTTCTATAAAAGGAGACCACAGACATTCTGGCCCAGAACAAGGGAGAACTTTCGGGCTTGGGGCAGGTGCATTGAAGAACTATAAACTACATCTCTGCTCCAAGAAAGTTAAATTGAAAATAAGAATTTTTGTAATAATGATACACCTGGAGAATGGTATTCCCCAAGAGAAGGTATCTTCTAAAAGACATGAAGGTGACAAAAAGAGCTGTCTATTAGTAACAATTTGAGTGTAAGCACTAAAAACAATTTTTTGTTTCCACATTCTTAAGAATATCCCAGGCTATTCACTTAAGCATGTATTTCCCATCAAACTAATTTGGTCCTCTGGTAGTTACTAGCCTGGTACTTTATTGTGCCTTGAAGGGTTAATGGAAACCATAGTTGCACCACTCTTTGGCATCACCCAACTGTTGAGGTAATGTGCACGTTGTGGTATTTTTCTAGTCTGGACCTCCAATGCAACTTACACACATTACTTATATTCATAATGTAATTTTACTTGTACAGAAGGAACAGTATCATACGTAAAAATTGCAACCTAGTATCTACTTCTAGTAGCAATTTGCATGCTTGTGTTAAACCTATTTCCTCAGCTTAAGGTGTATCACACCTCCCACCTGTGCCCCCCTCATCAATAAAAGCAACTTTATCTTCATGTATGACATACTTATCATATGCCTCTCTATGCACATACCTCTCTATGACTTATATTCTATTCCCCTTCCCTTTCTTACTCTAGATTGCTGGTCTTGGCATAGCTTTTCCTTCACCTGTTCCTGGAATAATCACTCACACATGCACCTCCTGGACCTTCCAACACCAGGTCTACACTTGGCGCCATGGACAGATAATTGGATTTCCCTGTGTTCAGAATGCTCTCACTTGTTCAGGAAAGAGGAGCTAACAGTCTCTCTGAAGAGGCCTCTTCTCCACCCTGGCCAGAGGAACTTCACCTGGATATTCCAGGGTGTGTGAGTCCAACACTGCCTGATAAACCAGGTTCATTTCTTTTTCATTAAGAAAAAGAATGTCATGACAACTTAGACAAAAAGGTAAGAAATCAAGTGAGAGCCATATTTTATAGTAGACAGTAAAGCCTTTATGATTCTTTCCTAAGAATTAAAATCATTCTTCAGCTTCAAGCTTTCTACTCTGCCTTCTCTTTATTCTACTCTCCCTAAAATTAGAATAGAAAATAAAATACAGGAACAAAAACAGAACAGGAAACAGGAAGATACTCACCATCACAGCCAGCTGCCTGTAGGCCTTTTTCAGTTCAACATCTGATGCGGTGGTTTCAACCCCCAACACATAGAAAGGGTTTAGCTCATCCTCAGGAACCCCAACCATGGTCAAGAGTCGAGTCACTTCCTCTTCAGGCTGGCAGTAGGGACCACCAGCTACAGGTGCATTCCCCTGCCTATTACTCATCTGCTTGACCCAAGGAAACTCCAGCCAACCCCACTGAACCATTTTTACCAGCTGCTGCCATGGCCTGCTATCTCTTAGCAGAATCAGGCAACGCTGCAAAGTGGGAGTATCCACCCAAGAGAAGAGCCATGTTGCTCTACCCCTCCAGCCTAACCGGTCACCCAATCCCATCAGGAACCGCCAGCCTAACTGGAGACAGCCCAACAAGAGAGCCAGGGCCAAGAGCAGCAAAGCACCCAACAGCCTAAGAACATGGGTGAACAACCCTGCCCCACAGCAAAACCCCTGGCTGAGAAACTGGAACATCACCTGGGCCCAGCCCCACAACCGCCCTGCCCAGACTCCCACCCAGACTCGAAAAAGGTCCAGGTCACTGCCTTTCAGCTGCCTGCATGCATAGATGATATGGCCACAAGCTTCCACATACTCTCCCACCAGAACCAGCAGTTCAATCAGCCACCAGAAGCCTGCCTGTCCAAGCTGACACAGTTCTTCTGCTCCCCACAATCCTAGGCCTCTGCGCTTATCTGCCTGACTTCGCTTCCGGCCCAGCCGATGTCGCCCAGGGGGCCTGGGATCTCTGCGTCCACCCTCCCGAGTATCCTCCTTGGCTGGAAGACGGTGCCGCTGTCTCCGTGGTGGTTTCTTCTCACTGGTCACACGTGAAAAATCACTGGGGAACTTAGGAGGTTCCTCCTCATCATATTCCTCTTCCAATTCTTCATCTTCCCCCACAGCTGGAGAGGTACAATGGTGGCAAAAATTGCTAGAAGAGCTCTCTCCTCCCTCAGAGTAAGGCCCTTCAGGGACTTCAGGGGTTCCCTGGCAGTGGCAAGCAGATGGAATGGAAAGAAAAGAAGGGTTCCCATCTTCCTGGTACCCAGTCTCATTCTCTCTTGAGAGTTCCTGGTCCACTCCAGACTCTTCTTCTGAAGATGCCTCACTCTGATCAGGGTCCTCTCCATCCCCAGGGGGTCCTGGGCCCCTTGGGGGGCCATGGCTTGGATCCGACCAATGGGCTGGGTTTGGCGGCTGTGTGTACTTAGTACTAGAGTGCTCTGGGAGGCAGCGGGTACCATTAGGAGCAGACCCCTGTGAGTCCCTGAGTCCTGAGGATGAATGTATTTCAGGGTCCACAGAGAGTCCTGAAGTCCTTAGGGAGGCACCACCACTGTGGTGGGCTCTACACAACCCTCTTTCTCCAGGGTGCTTCTGGGCCATGACCCCGAGGTTTCCTAAGGATTTTAGGTCACAGCCATCATGGTAAATTCTGATGCCTGTAACAAAGGTGTCAAGATGAGGATTATCAAGAACCAAGAGAGGGGTTACATAATCTTAAAATGGGGATATATTTAATGCACCCACCTCCTTCGTTTTCCCAAGTTCTTTGGGGGCATTCATTCCCTCTAGCAGTAAACCAGTAATAATACGTTAACTACAGCCCTGCTCCCATCCCCCTCCTCCAAATCCCCTTACTGTTTTTTCTTTCTCCGGAAAGCTATAATCTAGAATCAGGGAGAGAGGAAGGTACCACAAAGGATGTGGTCCTGGGGTCACTCTTGGGAAAATGGGTAAGACGACCCTAAACGGCGGTCGCCGGCGGCCAGAAAAGGGTGGGGACCGTGCGGCCCTTAAGGAAAAGCTGGGGGCGGAATTTGGGGTTGCCCCTCAGAGAGACAACCAGGAAGCCCTCGGGGTAGGTCACGGGGGAGGCGAAGGTAACCTACTGAAGAGCGGGGGTAACTCCTCCCCCTCGAGCAGCAGGGCCTAGGGCCCGGGGGAGGGGGGAAGCTACGAGCGGCAGCTCCCCCGGCTCCGCCTCCTGCTCCGGTTCGGCTTCCGCCTTCCGTCCCCGCCGCGGACGCCGACCTACGCCTACTTCCACTTCCGGGGTCACCAGGGAAGAGACGGGAAGGAAAATTAAAAGCGGTTGGCAGAGGCGCGACCCAGTCCGCCCAGTGCTGAGTCGAATCTGAGGGGGCGGTCCTGGGGAAACACGGCCCCGCCCCCTAAAGGGCCCTCTGCTGCGGCGCTCCGCGTGCCGGAGGGGCTCCCTGCAGGCTGCTGAGCTAGAAGCGAAGTAGTGCACCCAGCAGCGATGCCTGCGGACGGCAGTTCCTCTGGCAATATTAATGAGTTTTGCCGAGACTGGGAGGTAGTGGACAGCCACCAAGCCACAGGCCGTTTCTCTTGCAGACAAAACCAGGGAGCGTAGAGGAGCCCCCGCCCTGATCCCTTCCCTGTTGGCTGTCGAGAGGACAGAGGCCCTTCTGTATCCAGCAGAGGTGGAGAGGAAGGTGCCCCAAACCAGCCCCCACCCTGTTCCCTCGGCGCGGCCTCTTCTTTCCCAGCAACCTTCGGCGTCCCCAGCGCCTGACCCAGCTGCCGAAGCGTCTCGTGTAAATGCGGGTCCACCACCCGGATGCGCCCCTCTGGACGCAGCTCCAGGCCGTTACAGAATAGGGCCAGGCAACTGGAAGTCGTAGCTCCGCGGGGCGCAGGACAGGAAGAGAGGGCCAAAAAGCACTATACTCCTCTGAGTGCTGCTTTGCATTCCCTTTGCATACCAATCTGTTCGGTCGCTGTCCACATGCACCCCCGTCCCCACGCAAACCCGGCTCGCGTCCCCTCTCTGTCCCTTCCTCTGCGCTCGCCTCTCTCTTTAGTCCCCTTTCCGGACCCCGTCTTGCTCTGCAAGTTTTTCTACTCATGAACCCCTCGCCTTCCCCTCCGGACGAGTAAGAGCCCCTTCCCCGATCCCGACCACCAGGTTCTCGAGAAGACAATACTCCAATTATCTGCGAAGTGGAAGAAACCAAACCGGAGCTGGTGGGGCGCTGGGACCCCAGTTGGAACTTTGAGAGCTTCCAGTTGTCGAGTCCTCGCCAAAGTGTTCAGAGACCTTTCCCAAAACCTCTCGCAGTGCCCCCAAAATCCTTCCATGCTATGGTTGGGGGTCCCTGGTCCCAGCCTAGAGCAAATAGGTAAACTGGATCCCCCCACACACAGGGGAAAGAGTTGGAGGGGCTTGCCCCATGATGTCATCCCCTTCCCCAAACACCCTGTCCCTTTCCTCCAGCCCCCAAGCTGGTTGCATTTAGCTTCCGGGGCTTGGGCTACAACTTGCAGGAGTTTGGGGAGCATAGAACGCAGCGGCCCTGGGGGTGCCCACGCCCAACAACAGCCGTTCAGAAGCCCGAGACCTCTGGGCAGAGATGCGACTGGGAGTCTAGGGAAGCACTCTATCCCCTCAGCCTGACAGGGAGGTGAGTAGTTAACACCCCTCTCCAACCTCTCCTTGTTTAGGATCCCCAGACTTGCAAACGGATTGAAGGGATTCCCCAAGGCAAGCTTCCAGCCTGTCAGGACCTTGATGTCCAAAAGAAGACACCTAAAGGACAGTGCCTGCACCTACTCCACCCCACACCCAAGTGCCCCAGGGCCAGCTCCCGCTTGGTGCAGGAACTGAATTTAAATCCCCTGGCAGCCCTGACAGCCCCTGGAAAGGGAGGGATAGAAAAAGTCCCACCTGTGTCCGGAGGGGAGGAGCAGGAAGCTCCCAGGATGTGAGATGTCTGTGGGCAACGCCAATTTAGCCCATGAGGGGTCGTGGGGGCTGGACTGTCGCTATACACCCTTCCCCAACAGCTCTATCTCTGCATGAAGCCGAGGCTTCAAAACCCTAACAAAGTCTGGGTGCCTGTCTCTGCTTGATTCCTTGTCCCAGACCCTTTTGATGTCTGGTTTTCCCCTCTTCCTTCCCTGGGGTTGGAGCAGCTGTCTAGAGACCCCACCATGACTCATTCCCTCTTACTCCTCCTTCTCCCACCTTTACTAACTCCACCCTTCCCAGTCCAGTGGGGTAGTATCAAGTCCCAGCTGCATAGAGGGCAGCTTGCTTTCAGCTGGGACAAGCTGCTGGATAAATAGCCCTGAGTCCCATGAGTGCCCCTGGGCCTCTCCATAGATCTAGGACTTCCTAATCCTCCACCCCACCCTGGAAAGCTAGGCAGCAAACATAAACTCATTATCTTACAAGATTTTTGTTGTAAGTTTTACTTAGTGTCCTTGTTTCAGAGAGTGGTGAAGAGACAGCTGGCTTCCCTTAACCCAATCCTATAGATTTCCTTAGTACCCCAGCAGGGCCATGCTCCCTCCTGAAATTACCCTTCCTTCCTAAGAAGTAGATAAAGAGAGTCCTCAAGATTCATGGACACCTGAGTTCCTGCCCCCTCCCCCCTTGCAGGTTTCCCAGCCCCCTCCAGACATTCATGGATGGGATGAGAGGAGCTGGCACTGACCCCCCTCTGTGACCACTTCCTCTTCGGCCATGGAGGAAGCCTTGCTGCCCCTGGCCATGAGCTCTGACCCCAGGCCCTATAATCAACAACTCTCAGAGCCTCCAGACCCAGGATGTGTCTTGGAGCCCCAGGACAGTCCTGAGGCAGCACCTGCCCTGGTGTGTGCTCTTTGCTGCTGCCTTGGAATCATCTACTGCTGCTTCGGTGAGGGCAGGGCCAGGGTGCTGGGGGGCAGCTGCCCAAGACTGTCACCCTCAGGGATGATGCCAGCCTTCTCCTTTGTGCTGGGGCCACCTCTACTCCTCTACCAGGGGAGGTCTACCTTCAGTGGGGCCCCTGCTGCTTTTGCCAGCTCTTCTGGTCCTACCCCCACCCCATGCCCTCCAATGCCAACCCTTGGCAATTATCGCTTGCCTTCCCCTTCCCTCCTTTCTCAAAATCCTCCATACTTAAGGCTTCTTCACCCTTCCCCACTAAGCTGAATCAGCCTATGCTGATTTCTTCCTATCTGCATCCTGACAGGACTACACCTTCTTGTGGACTCACTCCCTCAGTGTATCCATCTTACCTCCTGACTTTCCCTCCCACTCTTCACTGTCCTGAAGAGCCCCTGCCCTCCCTGAGATTGTCCCTTTTTTTCCCCTTGCCTTGAGGTCCCTGTTGTGCTGCTCCTCTGGTTAGCCATCCCTCCCTTCCAATTCATCAGCGCCAACCCTGCAGGACTCCCCCTCTGTCTCAGTGTCACGTGCCTCTTTCTCAGGCTACCGCTGCTGCAGGGCAGTGATGTTTCTCTCGGGCCTGCTGTCAGGAGCTCTGGTGATCTTCCTACTGTGCCACAATGAGCGGGTGCTAGAGACACAGCTGAGCCTGGAGGTGAGCGCGGGCATTGCGCTAGGCATCGGACTCCTCTGTGGCCTGGTCACCATGCTGGTTCGCAGTGTCGGGCTCTTCCTGACTGGTCTCCTGCTAGGCCTAACTCTGGGCGCTGGGGCCCTGCTGGGCACCGAGCCCATCTACCAACCACCTTCAGCCTGGGCGCCAGCTGGGGGGCTGGTGGGGCTGGCACTGCTGGGAGCCCTGCTCACACTTCAGTGGCCACGACCATTCACAGTTCTGGGCACAGCCCTGCTGGGGGCTGCTGTGCTGGTGGCCTGTGCTGACTACTTTCTGGAGGGGCTGGCACTGGGCCATCGGTTGGGCCAACGCTTGCAGGCACTTCCAGCCTTGCCTCCTCTCTGCTGGTATAGCTGGGTCCTCCTGGGGACCTGGCCAGCCCTGGGGGCCCTTGGGGCGCTGGCCCAGTGGAAGCTCATGGATGAGGAACGTGGAGGCCACGCCAATGGTGAGTCAATGCCGTGGTACAGAAGCAGCCAACCTGTGCCTTCTCTCATCCCAGATCCCAGGCTTGAAGAGGGGAAGGGGAAATATACCTGAGAGAGGAGGGCAGAGGTGTTTAAGTAGAGTGGGGCAGGGCACTGAAGGAAAGTTAGAGTTGTGGGAGCCAAAGGTCTGCATAAGAATAAGAAGAGAAACTGTCAGGGGGAGCAGGGAAGGGAAGAGTTACTGCGGGCTGTTATGAAAGGATAGGAAGATCTCAGTGGAGTGTAAGAGGAAAGAGTAGGATTCCAAAGAGGAATTTCTTTTAGAATAATGGGGGAAAATGAGGTTTGAGAGAACCCAGACAGGGAGATCAAATGGGTTTTTCTAGAGGGTGAGTTTGTTTGGAGGTGGCATTCAGGGTCTCACGAGGCCTCCCTGAGTCTGTATTGCCCCCTCCCAAGGAGTGGTCTTGAGCCACCAGCGAAGGCATCTCCAATTCCTTCGGATCCATCAGCAAGAGGCCAAGTGGCACCAGACCTCCGCTGGGGTGGGGCTCTGTGAGGGCAGCTACCAGCGCCACCTCCCCCATAACACCTGGGGCCCTGCTGACAGTCTGGCTCCAGTGAGTGAGGGAAGAGAGCATATGGGGACAGCCAGGGTGGGAAGTGGGCTCTGACCCAGGCCCTTCCTTCTGCCCTCTCTGCCCTGTGCCCCTCCAGAGTTATCTCCAGAGCCTTCGAGAGCACCAGCTGGGACCAGGCCCCCAGGCCTCAGCCCCCAACGCCATCCTGGACCTGGATTCTGACTGTGGTTCCACTGTACCCCTCACCACACCTTCTGGTTCCAGCCAGACTTGAGCCTAAACCTCCACTGACCACCCCCATCCCCACAGCAAGGGCATAGGGACACCCTAGCAGTGCCTGCACCCACAGGAAACACAAAAACTTCCCTACCTCTGGGACTGGATATGGAATCTGTGCTCCCACCCCCACCAGCCCTGGAGGGATTTGTTTCAGGGACCAAGGATCCTGTGGAGTGGGGAAAGGAAGGATGAGTACCTGTCTCTGTCCAATCATGGAGGCACCCTGGCCCCTAAAGTAACTAGCTCCCTAATTCCTCCAAACCAAGAAGGGCCCTTACCCAAATAGCCTTCTGTATGTCTGCCTCAGTGTGCCTCACATGCTAAAATAAGGGGTTCTGTGTTTGTAGGACCTATAGAAAATCAGGAAGCCTTCTAAAGCACCTGATAGTTTTTTAGTGGGGAGAAGGGCACAGAGGGGCTCCAGGATCCCCTAATCTCCAAGCCCCTTATTAGGGAGTACTCAGGTTCCTGATTAGCCTTTCCCCCTGGACCCCATAGGTCCAAGCCCCCTTCTCCTACCTCAATTGGGGACACTGTCCTCCATGGTGCTTCTTTTTCTCTCCTTCTTAATGTGGGGAAGATCATGGGGCAGTACCTGGCTCAGCACCCACCTCCCAAAAAGCTAGCTTCTTGCTCCAAGGAAAGAGCATTGGCCCACATGGCACAGTCTTGCCCTTTTGTTTAAAAGAGTCTGGTCTTTGGGGCTGTGTGGGAGACAAGTGCCTTCTCTGCTTCTCATTGTAGGTAATGCTGATCTTAAATAGAACTTTATCCCACCCATTCTAATCCTCCCCTCTCTGATTCTTCTGCCCAAAGTCTGTTCCCTGGTTCCCAGACAGCATGAAGGAAGATGCATCCCCCTGGGCAGCAAGGCCTTGATGGGAGGAAGAACATGGGTGCATGTGAATAAAATGGCATTGAACGCTGGCCTCTAATGTTGCTGCTCTTTTCTTTGCACCCCAAAACAAAGAGCCAGACTGAGTCCCTTAAAGATCTGGTAAGAGTTCCTTTATCAGACTGGACAGTTGTACACACAGCCACACAAAGAGCTGTTTGGGCCTTTCTTATGAACATGGAGTTAGCCTTTATGAAGCACAAATGTGCCAGACACAGTACCACTTCACATACAGTATTTCACTTAATGTGACAACCCTGCAGGACTGATATTAACCTGATTTTGCAGTTGGGGGTCCCGAGGCTCAACAAGGTTAATTAACTCACCTGATGTCACAAGCAGGTAAATATGATTCTCAAGGACTCCAAAGCCCTTGCTCATTTTACTGGCCATGCTGTTTTCTTGCAATTTATCAGGAATAACAGCTTCCCAGCTGGCACCTCCTGTCAGCCAAAGGCCTGGTTAACACCTTCCCTCCACCACTGCCCTCCAGACAGTAGATAACAATTGAAAGGCTGTCTAGAGTGGGGAAGAAGCCAAGAGGTGGGGGCTGACCCAGCATTAAGGAGTCACTGCCCAGCAGAGAAAGCGCTGGAGTGGTGGCTAGAGCTGCGATGTACAGAGGCCTGCATTCTGTGGTTCATGACCCTGCTGCAGCACCAGCAGCCTAGTAAGCAAACATTTGGTTCAGGTCCTAGGCTACTAGGAGTGTGACTGTCCCAGGGAATACAAGGCTGGTGGGACCTGTGGTGGAGGGGGTCATGTCTGAGATTGTGTCTTTGGGTAAGGTAGTTCCTGTGGCTGGGAGAGGGGTGTCCCCACCAGACAGGGCAGTGTTTGGGTTCTGGGGACCGCAATGCATCCAGTTGTGGGCAGTACCCTTGGGGTAGCCTTTCTCTGCTTGAAGCTGCTGGTTGAGGCGCTAGTACTGTTGGCCTTTGAAGAAGTAGACACGGCCATCCCTCCAGCTCATGGCTGCCAAGGGCGGGTCTGGCACTCCAGTTAACAGCTCCTTGATTGGTTTGGGGTAGTAGCCAAAGTCAGTTTGGCCCAGCTCGTCCCACTGCCAGTAACCGGAGCCCTAGGTGTGGGGTGGGTAGGGAGAAGAGGAGGATGAAGGGGGAGCTTCTGGACTCCCAGAGGCCCACCCCCAGCCCACTGCAGCAGGAGACCTCCCTTCAAAAGCAAGTCTTTGCTTCTCAATGTGAGGCAGCCTACACCTCCTAAGAAGGGGTTTGCCCTTGCTTTGAACCTTATACCTTAAAAAGGAACACCTTTTGGTTGAGAGGCCAATAGAGAGCTGCATCCAGGTTGGGTGCTACCCTGTTCAGCTTCTTGGGGAGGCCAGGAGACATCTTGAAATTAATGTAGCGCCACACCCTGTCTCCTGGGAGCATGCAAGGAGAGAGCAAGTCACCTCTGTCTTCTGAAGACAGCACAGTTCCTCATTCCAACCTTTGAGAAATGTCTCATCTCTCCCTCCTTTTTATAGCTTCTTTGGTGGCAGGCCGTCCTCAGGTAACACACTGGAAACCAGTCCCCTTACCCTTACAGAGGTGGATCCATTGTGTTCAAGGAGAATAGACAGCAGCATCCAGGTTTCCCGGGAGCCCCCCCCAAAGGGCAGTCACTTGGAACAAGGGACCCAGCCCTGAATCTGTCACAGTCCACACATAGTTCCCCTTGAAGGCATAGGTTTTCCCGTGGGGTCCTGAGAGCAAAAGTCAACAAGTCAAAAAGACAGTGGTCAATTAAAGACTTGTGGGTATCTACTCACCCTCCTCCCACAGACTGGTGCCTCAAAATTCATTCAACTTTAATTTGAGAAGGTGAAGGACAGAGAAGGACCCAGTTCTCAGCCTCTTCTTTGTTCTTCAGAGCAATTCAGCTCTGGTCCACTCAACAAAAGCCTTGCGGATAGTTGCTCCCCACCCCCGACACCGGGATCCTCTCCTTCCACTCCAGGTGGCCTCCAGTTGTTCTTCCAGGCAGGTACAATACCTCTCTAATGGACATTCCAGTTAATATGGCCACCCCCATCTTGCTGTATTTCCAAATGTGTTTTAGTGGCCCTTATAGGGTAGTAACCGAGGTAAACACCTGGTTTACACCTCTAATTTGGTCCTGAACCATCCCTTCCCATGCCACATGCTCCACCCCCATTGCCAGTAAACCCTGGCTGGTGTCTAACCCCCATTGCTCATGCTGAGATTCCATGTCATCCCCATTTGTCCAGGTCTTAAGTCAGCAGACTGCCCCCACTGCCTGCCTGCAGCCTAAAAGGGGAGGGCCTCACCCAGCATGATGGCATCCAGTTCACCACCACAGGGGTCCGGCACAGGACTGTGTTCTGTAGATACTTGTGGCCCAGAAGGGAGGTCTGTCTCCTCTTCCTCATCCCCTGTCTCTGGGCTCTTCTTGCCTGCAGGGTAACATAATGCTGCTCAAGGACAGAACTCAGAGCACCTGCCTCCCCACTCTTTAACTGTAAATTTGGCTCAGAGGCCTCACAGAGAGGTGAAAAGGGAGTCCTAGAGAGTTTCCCTTGGTCACATTGATCAGCAGGAGACAAGTTTTAGTTTGCGGAGACACCAGCAAGGGAAAGGAGGTTTACTGGAATGTTTGTTCTTCATCCACAAGAATGGGTGTGAAGGGAGCAAAGTCTGGAAGGAAGATTAGACATGAAAATATCAGAAAAACAGCTCGTGCAAACAAGGGAGCCAGAATGACAGCAGGAGGAAGAGAAAGAGGCCACTTCCTTCCCTGGAGGCTGGACTGTCTTTTCAAGCCTGAAAAGCTGCTGCTCAGACTGCCCCTCATGATCACTCAGGGCAGGACTGACCATAGAGGGCCTGGATCCCTGCCACATCATCTGGGTGCAGCTTGAAGTGAGGCCAGTAGCCAGCATAGACGGGGGCCATGAGGGCCTGGGTATATCGGGAGTGCCCGAGCCCCAGGGCATGGCCCAGTTCATGGACTGCAATGATGCGGAGATTCATGCCCCAGTAGGTCCTCTCAGTCCAGAGCTCATCTTCATCAAAGTGCACACTGCCCTACTCTGGGATGTCGACATGAGCTAGGACCCTCCCTGGACAAAGAAGGTGGACAGGAAGGAAGTCAGAGTCTCCGGCTAGAGCATCAACTACCTGTTACAAACCCCAATTATTCGATTCTCTCAAAATCCCCTTGTATATCTACTGCCTCTTGGGTGCCCCTCTCCTTTCCGATTTCCCTCTCACTACCCTGCTGTGTCAGGGATGAGCATCACTCTACCGCTTTACCTCCCAGCCCCTCTCTCCTCACTGGCCTAGTCCTCTCTGAGTGTGCCTTGAGCAGGGGAACTTAAAGGAAGACGGCATAAGCTTCAAAGAGGAAGCTTGGTAAGGCCCCAGGGAGGTGACCAACAGCTCCCCATTGGAATGTGAGAGTGGTCAGAGAATGTAGGGTACAGCCGGGCATAGAGGGAAGCATGAACATCAAGGCTCCAGAGTCACTGGCTCAAGGGGACAGAGATAATCTCAGAGGTCTGTGAGATAGAAGCCAAGAGCTGGTGCCCACCAGGCCCATCAAAGGTATTGGAGCAGTACGGGCTTTGGCAGCCATGGAAGGAGAGGTGGATGTCAGCCCAGCCAGTCTGCACCTCCTGAAAGGTCAGGGGGGCCACACTGCTCCAGTACTGGAAGGCCTGGAGGAGGGCTGTCTGGGCTGTGTGGGTTGGGAGGGTAGAGAGCAGGTTCAGGAAGTGGAAGGTCAGGTGCTTCCTCCTCCAGCAGCCTGGTTATTAGACCAGAAAATAGGTTAAAAACACATATCCTCCTGCCAGACCCAGAGAGCCCCTCTGAGTCTGGGTATTCACTCAGCAAAGCTATGTAATAACCCCTCCAGGTGAGTGATGATCAGGTAATCACCAAATGATCACGCATTCAACACAACTAGTCCAGGCTGTCCTAGTGGCACCTGTACTCCAGAGCCATGCTACCCCTCCTTTCCTTCCCTTTCCCAAGCTCAGTCCTCACTCAGCATCAGGTATTTCAGGGTCTTTTGGTTGAAGGGGTCCTCCAGGCCACAACGGGGCTGCCTCATGTGGGCCCTTGTGGCATTATCCAGCTGACCTGAGACTGGCAGCTCAGATGCTTCCTAAAAAGCTCTGGAAAGGAGAGGAATGGATCCAGCAGTGCAGGGGACTGGAATGGCTGGAAACTGGGGAGAGATCTTTGGTCCCCAGCTGCCCAAGAGAATGGCACAGAATCTCAGAAGCTAATGGGGTCACGCCGTCCAGTATCCAGTCCTCATAATTGTGGCTGTCTCTTCTGCTCTGCAGAAATGGCAAAACTCCAGCTTCCCCTCTCCAACTTTAGTCTTCTATTTGGGTAAGCTTCTCCCCATGTGTCTCCTTCTTTCCCTACTATAATTTCTAACCCACTCTGGGGAAGTGCCTGGTGCTCACCACACCTGTCTGAGGTGCTGGAGCAGTGCAGACTTTGGCAGCCATGGAAGGAGAAATGGATACCAGCCCACTCTGGAGACTCTCCCACCACTGCTCCCACCTGAGCACCTGTCCTCCCTCAGCCTTCACCCCTCCTGGCTACACCCCCTCCCAGCCCAGCCTGCTCTAGGATAGGGTTATCCATCAGGCACTGCAGGCACTGTGGCTTTTCAAGGGACTGTGAACATGTCTGACAAAAGTAAAAACTATCCATTAGATCCAAAATAGGAAAAGAAAAGTTTGAAATAGAAATAAATGCTGAACTAAATGTCTACAAAAGGCAACATCATGTCAAAAACTCAACTCCAACTCAACTCAACTCATGGTTTTGCATATAAACCAGACTTCATGTGAGATGTGACTGAGTATGGGTATGCTGAATACAGTGTGGGCTGGGGCCACCAGAGGAGTGCTTAGCGCCTGGAAGATCTGATAACTGGGCTCCTCTTCCATGAATCCATGAACCCCCAACTCACCCCATGCTCTACCAGCCTCGCAGCGACAGCCACCCTCACCCTCCATTCCTGATGTGGATTTGGGTCTGGGTCAGGCAGATGTGAGCCAGTAGGAGAGGAAAAGATGAGAAGAAGGAAACAATACTTTGAGACCTCAACCCTGAAGGCATGCATCTTATGACCTCTCACCTCAGAGCTTCCAAGATATCTTCTGGCCTAAAGTCAGCAGGTCCTTCTAGAGGCTTCTGTAGGTACCCATACTGCAACAGGTAATCCTATGATGGGGGTACGGGTAAGCAAAATACAAAGGGGGTTAGTCTCAAAGTAAAGCTTCTAAGTGACCCAACAGAACCATGAGGAGAGGAGGGGACAGATGTGGAAGGACCACAGGAGAGGCACCTTAGGGAAGCAGCTCAGGTGGAACAAGGGGGAGCAGTGGGAGATAGGCAGGGGTAGATGGGCGTAGTGGAAGGAGGGGAAAGGCAGGCAGGGAGGCTTGGATGGGACCTTGGAGCAGGGCCCCCCATCCCTCTGCTGGCTGGGCCCCTCTTTCCTGGGGGCCTTACCACTGCTGCCTCCTTCTCTGCAGGCCCTAGAGCCCGGGCTGAGACCACCATGGGGAGGAGGAAGCCAAGCCACAGCAGCTGCCAGCTCATGGTCCCACCAGGCAGGAGCTCCAGAGGCCATCTGTGCTTCTGCCCTGAGATTTCTGGGAGCCTGGAGGAGCAGGGCAGGGTAGGGGGTGCCTTACCTCCAGTTCTTTTCACTGTCTAGTTTCTAGTCCCCTTTATGAAACTTAAGGGGAGGGGAACTTGAGGGAGTGGCAGTAGGAGGTGACTCAGCCCAGAGTTATGTTGCAATTCCCCATTAACCCCTGCCCTGCCAGAGTGGAAGACAAGAAGAGCCCCCGGCCCACTTTCCCTGAGCCCTCTGTGAGAGAGAGGAACACTTTTCACACTGTCCCGGAGCTGGGCATCCTGGCAGGAAGAGAAGCAGAATCTCTGTCCTGACAAGGATGACCACAGCCATTCTCTGGAGTTGGGCATTCCTGTGCCCCAGTGACCCTGGGACAGCAAACCCCTCAATTTCAACCTTCATGTCTCCCCATCTGCTCTAGGATAGAAGAAACTAAAAGGTAAGAGGTAGGAAGCCACTTAGGTGCTTGGGTTTCAGGTGATTGAACCAAGGGGGAGGTCTCAGTTTCTTTGCGTCCAAGACCATTTGGGAATTTAAATACTCTTGAAGCCTGCTCTGTCTGCTTCATAAAAAGTCATTACTTCAAGCATTTAATGAGCTCTGAATATGTGCTTGTGAGTGGGGGTTAACAAAGGCACAAAAAAGTAAAGGGCCATAGCCTGTCTGCAGGAAGCTTAATTAAGATAGGGTAAAGCCACCCAAGTACCTGCGAGGAGGGGTATATGAGGATGCCAGGCAGGAGGTGCCTGTCTAAGGGCATGGGGCTCCGGGGAGGCTCATGGAGCAGGCAGGCTTGGGGTTGGGCTTTGAAGGCTGGCCAAGTGTTGCACGGGGTAAGAGTGGTGAGGGACAGGGTCGCACAGGCCTAGGAAAGAGTGCAGAGCTGAGAAAAGCTGACTGTGCTCAATGAGTAAGTTCTGAAGGTCTGGACTGTTTCACTCATCACTGAGTCCGTAGAACAACCCCAGGCTAGCTCAATGCTCCAGGTGGCACTTAATAAATCTGATGGGAGAGTGGTTGGGAGCCACGGTTAAGTGAAGGCTTGAAAGCTGTTTAAGGATGAGGAGAAAATCTTACATTAAAAAAATCTACTTTATGTTAGGTGATTTATATATTATCTCATTTAATTCTCACAGCCCTTGCATGATGGAGGAATTATTCTGGCCATTTTTTATAAGAGTTATGGAGACCTGGAGAGGGAAACTTGANATAATCAACAACTCTCAGAGCCTCCAGACCCAGGATGTGTCTTGGAGCCCCAGGACAGTCCTGAGGCAGCACCTGCCCTGGTGTGTGCTCTTTGCTGCTGCCTTGGAATCATCTACTGCTGCTTCGGTGAGGGCAGGGCCAGGGTGCTGGGGGGCAGCTGCCCAAGACTGTCACCCTCAGGGATGATGCCAGCCTTCTCCTTTGTGCTGGGGCCACCTCTACTCCTCTACCAGGGGAGGTCTACCTTCAGTGGGGCCCCTGCTGCTTTTGCCAGCTCTTCTGGTCCTACCCCCACCCCATGCCCTCCAATGCCAACCCTTGGCAATTATCGCTTGCCTTCCCCTTCCCTCCTTTCTCAAAATCCTCCATACTTAAGGCTTCTTCACCCTTCCCCACTAAGCTGAATCAGCCTATGCTGATTTCTTCCTATCTGCATCCTGACAGGACTACACCTTCTTGTGGACTCACTCCCTCAGTGTATCCATCTTACCTCCTGACTTTCCCTCCCACTCTTCACTGTCCTGAAGAGCCCCTGCCCTCCCTGAGATTGTCCCTTTTTTTCCCCTTGCCTTGAGGTCCCTGTTGTGCTGCTCCTCTGGTTAGCCATCCCTCCCTTCCAATTCATCAGCGCCAACCCTGCAGGACTCCCCCTCTGTCTCAGTGTCACGTGCCTCTTTCTCAGGCTACCGCTGCTGCAGGGCAGTGATGTTTCTCTCGGGCCTGCTGTCAGGAGCTCTGGTGATCTTCCTACTGTGCCACAATGAGCGGGTGCTAGAGACACAGCTGAGCCTGGAGGTGAGCGCGGGCATTGCGCTAGGCATCGGACTCCTCTGTGGCCTGGTCACCATGCTGGTTCGCAGTGTCGGGCTCTTCCTGACTGGTCTCCTGCTAGGCCTAACTCTGGGCGCTGGGGCCCTGCTGGGCACCGAGCCCATCTACCAACCACCTTCAGCCTGGGCGCCAGCTGGGGGGCTGGTGGGGCTGGCACTGCTGGGAGCCCTGCTCACACTTCAGTGGCCACGACCATTCACAGTTCTGGGCACAGCCCTGCTGGGGGCTGCTGTGCTGGTGGCCTGTGCTGACTACTTTCTGGAGGGGCTGGCACTGGGCCATCGGTTGGGCCAACGCTTGCAGGCACTTCCAGCCTTGCCTCCTCTCTGCTGGTATAGCTGGGTCCTCCTGGGGACCTGGCCAGCCCTGGGGGCCCTTGGGGCGCTGGCCCAGTGGAAGCTCATGGATGAGGAACGTGGAGGCCACGCCAATGGTGAGTCAATGCCGTGGTACAGAAGCAGCCAACCTGTGCCTTCTCTCATCCCAGATCCCAGGCTTGAAGAGGGGAAGGGGAAATATACCTGAGAGAGGAGGGCAGAGGTGTTTAAGTAGAGTGGGGCAGGGCACTGAAGGAAAGTTAGAGTTGTGGGAGCCAAAGGTCTGCATAAGAATAAGAAGAGAAACTGTCAGGGGGAGCAGGGAAGGGAAGAGTTACTGCGGGCTGTTATGAAAGGATAGGAAGATCTCAGTGGAGTGTAAGAGGAAAGAGTAGGATTCCAAAGAGGAATTTCTTTTAGAATAATGGGGGAAAATGAGGTTTGAGAGAACCCAGACAGGGAGATCAAATGGGTTTTTCTAGAGGGTGAGTTTGTTTGGAGGTGGCATTCAGGGTCTCACGAGGCCTCCCTGAGTCTGTATTGCCCCCTCCCAAGGAGTGGTCTTGAGCCACCAGCGAAGGCATCTCCAATTCCTTCGGATCCATCAGCAAGAGGCCAAGTGGCACCAGACCTCCGCTGGGGTGGGGCTCTGTGAGGGCAGCTACCAGCGCCACCTCCCCCATAACACCTGGGGCCCTGCTGACAGTCTGGCTCCAGTGAGTGAGGGAAGAGAGCATATGGGGACAGCCAGGGTGGGAAGTGGGCTCTGACCCAGGCCCTTCCTTCTGCCCTCTCTGCCCTGTGCCCCTCCAGAGTTATCTCCAGAGCCTTCGAGAGCACCAGCTGGGACCAGGCCCCCAGGCCTCAGCCCCCAACGCCATCCTGGACCTGGATTCTGACTGTGGTTCCACTGTACCCCTCACCACACCTTCTGGTTCCAGCCAGACTTGAGCCTAAACCTCCACTGACCACCCCCATCCCCACAGCAAGGGCATAGGGACACCCTAGCAGTGCCTGCACCCACAGGAAACACAAAAACTTCCCTACCTCTGGGACTGGATATGGAATCTGTGCTCCCACCCCCACCAGCCCTGGAGGGATTTGTTTCAGGGACCAAGGATCCTGTGGAGTGGGGAAAGGAAGGATGAGTACCTGTCTCTGTCCAATCATGGAGGCACCCTGGCCCCTAAAGTAACTAGCTCCCTAATTCCTCCAAACCAAGAAGGGCCCTTACCCAAATAGCCTTCTGTATGTCTGCCTCAGTGTGCCTCACATGCTAAAATAAGGGGTTCTGTGTTTGTAGGACCTATAGAAAATCAGGAAGCCTTCTAAAGCACCTGATAGTTTTTTAGTGGGGAGAAGGGCACAGAGGGGCTCCAGGATCCCCTAATCTCCAAGCCCCTTATTAGGGAGTACTCAGGTTCCTGATTAGCCTTTCCCCCTGGACCCCATAGGTCCAAGCCCCCTTCTCCTACCTCAATTGGGGACACTGTCCTCCATGGTGCTTCTTTTTCTCTCCTTCTTAATGTGGGGAAGATCATGGGGCAGTACCTGGCTCAGCACCCACCTCCCAAAAAGCTAGCTTCTTGCTCCAAGGAAAGAGCATTGGCCCACATGGCACAGTCTTGCCCTTTTGTTTAAAAGAGTCTGGTCTTTGGGGCTGTGTGGGAGACAAGTGCCTTCTCTGCTTCTCATTGTAGGTAATGCTGATCTTAAATAGAACTTTGTCCCACCCATTCTAATCCTCCCCTCTCTGATTCTTCTGCCCAAAGTCTGTTCCCTGGTTCCCAGACAGCATGAAGGAAGATGCATCCCCCTGGGCAGCAAGGCCTTGATGGGAGGAAGAACATGGGTGCATGTGAATAAAATGGCATTGAACGCTGGCCTCTAATGTTGCTGCTCTTTTCTTTGCACCCCAAAACAAAGAGCCAGACTGAGTCCCTTAAAGATCTGGTAAGAGTTCCTTTATCAGACTGGACAGTTGTACACACAGCCACACAAAGAGCTGTTTGGGCCTTTCTTATGAACATGGAGTTAGCCTTTATGAAGCACAAATGTGCCAGACACAGTACCACTTCACATACAGTATTTCACTTAATGTGACAACCCTGCAGGACTGATATTAACCTGATTTTGCAGTTGGGGGTCCCGAGGCTCAACAAGGTTAATTAACTCACCTGATGTCACAAGCAGGTAAATATGATTCTCAAGGACTCCAAAGCCCTTGCTCATTTTACTGGCCATGCTGTTTTCTTGCAATTTATCAGGAATAACAGCTTCCCAGCTGGCACCTCCTGTCAGCCAAAGGCCTGGTTAACACCTTCCCTCCACCACTGCCCTCCAGACAGTAGATAACAATTGAAAGGCTGTCTAGAGTGGGGAAGAAGCCAAGAGGTGGGGGCTGACCCAGCATTAAGGAGTCACTGCCCAGCAGAGAAAGCGCTGGAGTGGTGGCTAGAGCTGCGATGTACAGAGGCCTGCATTCTGTGGTTCATGACCCTGCTGCAGCACCAGCAGCCTAGTAAGCAAACATTTGGTTCAGGTCCTAGGCTACTAGGAGTGTGACTGTCCCAGGGAATACAAGGCTGGTGGGACCTGTGGTGGAGGGGGTCATGTCTGAGATTGTGTCTTTGGGTAAGGTAGTTCCTGTGGCTGGGAGAGGGGTGTCCCCACCAGACAGGGCAGTGTTTGGGTTCTGGGGACCGCAATGCATCCAGTTGTGGGCAGTACCCTTGGGGTAGCCTTTCTCTGCTTGAAGCTGCTGGTTGAGGCGCTAGTACTGTTGGCCTTTGAAGAAGTAGACACGGCCATCCCTCCAGCTCATGGCTGCCAAGGGCGGGTCTGGCACTCCAGTTAACAGCTCCTTGATTGGTTTGGGGTAGTAGCCAAAGTCAGTTTGGCCCAGCTCGTCCCACTGCCAGTAACCGGAGCCCTAGGTGTGGGGTGGGTAGGGAGAAGAGGAGGATGAAGGGGGAGCTTCTGGACTCCCAGAGGCCCACCCCCAGCCCACTGCAGCAGGAGACCTCCCTTCAAAAGCAAGTCTTTGCTTCTCAATGTGAGGCAGCCTACACCTCCTAAGAAGGGGTTTGCCCTTGCTTTGAACCTTATACCTTAAAAAGGAACACCTTTTGGTTGAGAGGCCAATAGAGAGCTGCATCCAGGTTGGGTGCTACCCTGTTCAGCTTCTTGGGGAGGCCAGGAGACATCTTGAAATTAATGTAGCGCCACACCCTGTCTCCTGGGAGCATGCAAGGAGAGAGCAAGTCACCTCTGTCTTCTGAAGACAGCACAGTTCCTCATTCCAACCTTTGAGAAATGTCTCATCTCTCCCTCCTTTTTATAGCTTCTTTGGTGGCAGGCCGTCCTCAGGTAACACACTGGAAACCAGTCCCCTTACCCTTACAGAGGTGGATCCATTGTGTTCAAGGAGAATAGACAGCAGCATCCAGGTTTCCCGGGAGCCCCCCCCAAAGGGCAGTCACTTGGAACAAGGGACCCAGCCCTGAATCTGTCACAGTCCACACATAGTTCCCCTTGAAGGCATAGGTTTTCCCGTGGGGTCCTGAGAGCAAAAGTCAACAAGTCAAAAAGACAGTGGTCAATTAAAGACTTGTGGGTATCTACTCACCCTCCTCCCACAGACTGGTGCCTCAAAATTCATTCAACTTTAATTTGAGAAGGTGAAGGACAGAGAAGGACCCAGTTCTCAGCCTCTTCTTTGTTCTTCAGAGCAATTCAGCTCTGGTCCACTCAACAAAAGCCTTGCGGATAGTTGCTCCCCACCCCCGACACCGGGATCCTCTCCTTCCACTCCAGGTGGCCTCCAGTTGTTCTTCCAGGCAGGTACAATACCTCTCTAATGGACATTCCAGTTAATATGGCCACCCCCATCTTGCTGTATTTCCAAATGTGTTTTAGTGGCCCTTATAGGGTAGTAACCGAGGTAAACACCTGGTTTACACCTCTAATTTGGTCCTGAACCATCCCTTCCCATGCCACATGCTCCACCCCCATTGCCAGTAAACCCTGGCTGGTGTCTAACCCCCATTGCTCATGCTGAGATTCCATGTCATCCCCATTTGTCCAGGTCTTAAGTCAGCAGACTGCCCCCACTGCCTGCCTGCAGCCTAAAAGGGGAGGGCCTCACCCAGCATGATGGCATCCAGTTCACCACCACAGGGGTCCGGCACAGGACTGTGTTCTGTAGATACTTGTGGCCCAGAAGGGAGGTCTGTCTCCTCTTCCTCATCCCCTGTCTCTGGGCTCTTCTTGCCTGCAGGGTAACATAATGCTGCTCAAGGACAGAACTCAGAGCACCTGCCTCCCCACTCTTTAACTGTAAATTTGGCTCAGAGGCCTCACAGAGAGGTGAAAAGGGAGTCCTAGAGAGTTTCCCTTGGTCACATTGATCAGCAGGAGACAAGTTTTAGTTTGCGGAGACACCAGCAAGGGAAAGGAGGTTTACTGGAATGTTTGTTCTTCATCCACAAGAATGGGTGTGAAGGGAGCAAAGTCTGGAAGGAAGATTAGACATGAAAATATCAGAAAAACAGCTCGTGCAAACAAGGGAGCCAGAATGACAGCAGGAGGAAGAGAAAGAGGCCACTTCCTTCCCTGGAGGCTGGACTGTCTTTTCAAGCCTGAAAAGCTGCTGCTCAGACTGCCCCTCATGATCACTCAGGGCAGGACTGACCATAGAGGGCCTGGATCCCTGCCACATCATCTGGGTGCAGCTTGAAGTGAGGCCAGTAGCCAGCATAGACGGGGGCCATGAGGGCCTGGGTATATCGGGAGTGCCCGAGCCCCAGGGCATGGCCCAGTTCATGGACTGCAATGATGCGGAGATTCATGCCCCAGTAGGTCCTCTCAGTCCAGAGCTCATCTTCATCAAAGTGCACACTGCCCTACTCTGGGATGTCGACATGAGCTAGGACCCTCCCTGGACAAAGAAGGTGGACAGGAAGGAAGTCAGAGTCTCCGGCTAGAGCATCAACTACCTGTTACAAACCCCAATTATTCGATTCTCTCAAAATCCCCTTGTATATCTACTGCCTCTTGGGTGCCCCTCTCCTTTCCGATTTCCCTCTCACTACCCTGCTGTGTCAGGGATGAGCATCACTCTACCGCTTTACCTCCCAGCCCCTCTCTCCTCACTGGCCTAGTCCTCTCTGAGTGTGCCTTGAGCAGGGGAACTTAAAGGAAGACGGCATAAGCTTCAAAGAGGAAGCTTGGTAAGGCCCCAGGGAGGTGACCAACAGCTCCCCATTGGAATGTGAGAGTGGTCAGAGAATGTAGGGTACAGCCGGGCATAGAGGGAAGCATGAACATCAAGGCTCCAGAGTCACTGGCTCAAGGGGACAGAGATAATCTCAGAGGTCTGTGAGATAGAAGCCAAGAGCTGGTGCCCACCAGGCCCATCAAAGGTATTGGAGCAGTACGGGCTTTGGCAGCCATGGAAGGAGAGGTGGATGTCAGCCCAGCCAGTCTGCACCTCCTGAAAGGTCAGGGGGGCCACACTGCTCCAGTACTGGAAGGCCTGGAGGAGGGCTGTCTGGGCTGTGTGGGTTGGGAGGGTAGAGAGCAGGTTCAGGAAGTGGAAGGTCAGGTGCTTCCTCCTCCAGCAGCCTGGTTATTAGACCAGAAAATAGGTTAAAAACACATATCCTCCTGCCAGACCCAGAGAGCCCCTCTGAGTCTGGGTATTCACTCAGCAAAGCTATGTAATAACCCCTCCAGGTGAGTGATGATCAGGTAATCACCAAATGATCACGCATTCAACACAACTAGTCCAGGCTGTCCTAGTGGCACCTGTACTCCAGAGCCATGCTACCCCTCCTTTCCTTCCCTTTCCCAAGCTCAGTCCTCACTCAGCATCAGGTATTTCAGGGTCTTTTGGTTGAAGGGGTCCTCCAGGCCACAACGGGGCTGCCTCATGTGGGCCCTTGTGGCATTATCCAGCTGACCTGAGACTGGCAGCTCAGATGCTTCCTAAAAAGCTCTGGAAAGGAGAGGAATGGATCCAGCAGTGCAGGGGACTGGAATGGCTGGAAACTGGGGAGAGATCTTTGGTCCCCAGCTGCCCAAGAGAATGGCACAGAATCTCAGAAGCTAATGGGGTCACGCCGTCCAGTATCCAGTCCTCATAATTGTGGCTGTCTCTTCTGCTCTGCAGAAATGGCAAAACTCCAGCTTCCCCTCTCCAACTTTAGTCTTCTATTTGGGTAAGCTTCTCCCCATGTGTCTCCTTCTTTCCCTACTATAATTTCTAACCCACTCTGGGGAAGTGCCTGGTGCTCACCACACCTGTCTGAGGTGCTGGAGCAGTGCAGACTTTGGCAGCCATGGAAGGAGAAATGGATACCAGCCCACTCTGGAGACTCTCCCACCACTGCTCCCACCTGAGCACCTGTCCTCCCTCAGCCTTCACCCCTCCTGGCTACACCCCCTCCCAGCCCAGCCTGCTCTAGGATAGGGTTATCCATCAGGCACTGCAGGCACTGTGGCTTTTCAAGGGACTGTGAACATGTCTGACAAAAGTAAAAACTATCCATTAGATCCAAAATAGGAAAAGAAAAGTTTGAAATAGAAATAAATGCTGAACTAAATGTCTACAAAAGGCAACATCATGTCAAAAACTCAACTCCAACTCAACTCAACTCATGGTTTTGCATATAAACCAGACTTCATGTGAGATGTGACTGAGTATGGGTATGCTGAATACAGTGTGGGCTGGGGCCACCAGAGGAGTGCTTAGCGCCTGGAAGATCTGATAACTGGGCTCCTCTTCCATGAATCCATGAACCCCCAACTCACCCCATGCTCTACCAGCCTCGCAGCGACAGCCACCCTCACCCTCCATTCCTGATGTGGATTTGGGTCTGGGTCAGGCAGATGTGAGCCAGTAGGAGAGGAAAAGATGAGAAGAAGGAAACAATACTTTGAGACCTCAACCCTGAAGGCATGCATCTTATGACCTCTCACCTCAGAGCTTCCAAGATATCTTCTGGCCTAAAGTCAGCAGGTCCTTCTAGAGGCTTCTGTAGGTACCCATACTGCAACAGGTAATCCTATGATGGGGGTACGGGTAAGCAAAATACAAAGGGGGTTAGTCTCAAAGTAAAGCTTCTAAGTGACCCAACAGAACCATGAGGAGAGGAGGGGACAGATGTGGAAGGACCACAGGAGAGGCACCTTAGGGAAGCAGCTCAGGTGGAACAAGGGGGAGCAGTGGGAGATAGGCAGGGGTAGATGGGCGTAGTGGAAGGAGGGGAAAGGCAGGCAGGGAGGCTTGGATGGGACCTTGGAGCAGGGCCCCCCATCCCTCTGCTGGCTGGGCCCCTCTTTCCTGGGGGCCTTACCACTGCTGCCTCCTTCTCTGCAGGCCCTAGAGCCCGGGCTGAGACCACCATGGGGAGGAGGAAGCCAAGCCACAGCAGCTGCCAGCTCATGGTCCCACCAGGCAGGAGCTCCAGAGGCCATCTGTGCTTCTGCCCTGAGATTTCTGGGAGCCTGGAGGAGCAGGGCAGGGTAGGGGGTGCCTTACCTCCAGTTCTTTTCACTGTCTAGTTTCTAGTCCCCTTTATGAAACTTAAGGGGAGGGGAACTTGAGGGAGTGGCAGTAGGAGGTGACTCAGCCCAGAGTTATGTTGCAATTCCCCATTAACCCCTGCCCTGCCAGAGTGGAAGACAAGAAGAGCCCCCGGCCCACTTTCCCTGAGCCCTCTGTGAGAGAGAGGAACACTTTTCACACTGTCCCGGAGCTGGGCATCCTGGCAGGAAGAGAAGCAGAATCTCTGTCCTGACAAGGATGACCACAGCCATTCTCTGGAGTTGGGCATTCCTGTGCCCCAGTGACCCTGGGACAGCAAACCCCTCAATTTCAACCTTCATGTCTCCCCATCTGCTCTAGGATAGAAGAAACTAAAAGGTAAGAGGTAGGAAGCCACTTAGGTGCTTGGGTTTCAGGTGATTGAACCAAGGGGGAGGTCTCAGTTTCTTTGCGTCCAAGACCATTTGGGAATTTAAATACTCTTGAAGCCTGCTCTGTCTGCTTCATAAAAAGTCATTACTTCAAGCATTTAATGAGCTCTGAATATGTGCTTGTGAGTGGGGGTTAACAAAGGCACAAAAAAGTAAAGGGCCATAGCCTGTCTGCAGGAAGCTTAATTAAGATAGGGTAAAGCCACCCAAGTACCTGCGAGGAGGGGTATATGAGGATGCCAGGCAGGAGGTGCCTGTCTAAGGGCATGAGGCTCCGGGGAGGCTCATGGAGCAGGCAGGCTTGGGGTTGGGCTTTGAAGGCTGGCCAAGTGTTGCACGGGGTAAGAGTGGTGAGGGACAGGGTCGCACAGGCCTAGGAAAGAGTGCAGAGCTGAGAAAAGCTGACTGTGCTCAATGAGTAAGTTCTGAAGGTCTGGACTGTTTCACTCATCACTGAGTCCGTAGAACAACCCCAGGCTAGCTCAATGCTCCAGGTGGCACTTAATAAATCTGATGGGAGAGTGGTTGGGAGCCACGGTTAAGTGAAGGCTTGAAAGCTGTTTAAGGATGAGGAGAAAATCTTACATTAAAAAAATCTACTTTATGTTAGGTGATTTATATATTATCTCATTTAATTCTCACAGCCCTTGCATGATGGAGGAATTATTCTGGCCATTTTTTATAAGAGTTATGGAGACCTGGAGAGGGAAACTTGACTGAAGACATGGAGCTCCTAATTGGTCTGGTCTATATTCAAATCCGTCTGCTGACTCCATAACCCACACTCTTTTCATGCACCACACTGACTCTTAGAATTTTGTTCTTTAAGTGGTTAGGAACTCTGAAGTTTTCACTATCATTTATGCATCACGCAGCATTTGTATACTCTTCAAAACACACAGGGAATAGGGGAAAGGGTTACTGTATTCATGTTCTCAGTAGGACCCCAATTCTGAGCCCTTCCCCACAACCCAAGCTGAATGGCTGACATGCTACAAGAGAACCCTGCACACCCCAGGATTGAGGTGGGGGATCCTCCGACTCTTATCACCCTCAATGATACCCTCAACTGGGTAACAAATAAGTGACTAAGTTCCAAATGGCCAGTGACAGGCAGAAAAAACAGAGCCTCTGACTGAGGCCATCACTGAGGCCAAAGACCCCAGAAAATGATAAGAGTTTGGGAACCAGCTCCTGCTCAGCCGCCTGTAGGGCTCTCTCCCTCTTTCCCTGTCCTTCTCTCCCTCTTTTCACCCTATCCCTCAGTCCCTCTTCTTTGGAGAACAGAACAGTGGCTAACTGAAAATTATCTTTTTTTTCTGATTAAAGTTTTCTTTTTTTCTGAATGAAAGTTATCCCTTGCTCATTGTAGTAAGTCTGGAAAATACCAAAACAAACAGAAAGGAATTACTGGTAACATTTTGACGCACTTACTTGAAACTATCTGTGGTTCCAAGTTCAGCTCCAGCTCTGCTGTGCAGCGTCATCTCCAGAGACCATGGCTGGGCTGGGAAAGAGAGTGGAGGACATAGGCTAAGGGGAAAGCAAGTCGCTGAGGGTGATTGGGGAGAGCAGGATACAAGGAAAAGGAGTAACGGAGAGATGGCTGTGATTACTCCCTCCTGTCAGGCACCTCATATAAGCAAAAACAAAAAGAGAGGAGGATGCTTAGGAAGGGGTGTTTGGGTGTTGGTGAGAAATGCAGTGTTTATGAAAGGTGAAGACCGGGCACTCACTCTGGCCTCAGAAATCCCTGAGGGATGGACCCACATTCTAGCTAGTAAGGAGCCAGGAGAGAATAGAGTAATAGTAAAAGCTGCCAGATAGTTTATTTAAATCTCAATAACAACCCTGCTGGCTGGTATTAACACCTTTTTACAGAAAAGGAAACTGAATCTCTAATTGTAAACAAGTTAGGGCCCACCCCGCCATTGCTCCTGATATAGAGAAATGTGTTAGTCTCTGGCCTGTTTTCCCCTAAGAGCCCTGAGGGAGTCAGGAGAGGGAACTTTCTCTGGATTAATGGGATTGACTTTTCCAAGCAGTTACCCTGGAAACCCCTGTTTTTAAGAAGACTCCCCCCCACACACACACTCCTTCAATTAGTCATGGGTTCCTAGAAGCCAGATGGGAAGTGATGGCAGGGACTGTGTGCAGCTGGAACTGGTTAGTGGCAGGGAAGTGGGAGGAGTTTGGGGTGGCTCAGGGCCCGGCCAGCTCATTCTGTTCTCAGGATGCCCCAAACTTCCTCAGGCTCCATTATGAACACTTCCTGGCATTTCCACCCAGCCACTGTTCCTCAAACATGCACCCACTTAGGCACTGGCCTGAAGTTGCTCAGCTGAGGGGACATCAGACCCAAATCTTCAAGGCCTTCAGCTCCTGTGAAAGTGATAAACATCTGCTTCTCTTCTCCAGTTCACAGAGAAAGGTGTTACCCCACAGAACTCCACTGGCGGTTTCTAGAAGCTTCTGCTGGTGGTCCCATGGCCCAGCACAGTGTGCAAGGGAAGCATGAAGGCACAAATTTTAGCCTCTGGTATTAGGAGGGGTGTGAGGAGTGTTAAGTGTTCCTGCAGCACCTGGAATGACAGGGAAATCTTCTGGGAATACAGGCTATTCCTTTTATTTTTTTATTTATTTTATTAAGGTATTATTGTTATAAACTCTTATGAAGGTTTCACATGAAAAAACAATGTACTTACTACATTCAGTCCTGTTATCGTGTCCCCCCCCCATACCTCATTGGAGTCACTGCCCATCAATATAGTAAGATGCCACAGAGTCGCTACTTGTCTTCCCTGTGCTATAGTGTCTTCCCCCTGACCCCCCCACACACCATGTGTGCCAATCATGATACCCCTGAAACCCCTTCTCCCTCCCTCCCCACCCACCCTCCCCCACCCTTCCCCTTTGGTAACCGCTAGTCCCTTCTTGGGTTCTGTGAGTCTGCTGCTGTTTTGTTCCTTCAGTTTTGCTTCGTTGTTATACTCCACAAATGAAGGAAATCATTTGGTACTTGTCTTTCTTTGCCTGGCTCATTTCACTGAGCGTAATATCCTCCAGCTCCATCCATGTTGTTGCAAATTATAGAAATTATTTCCTATGGCTGAGTACTATTCCATTGTGTATAAGGACTACATCTCCTTTATCCACTCATCTACTGATGGACACTTAGGTTGCTTCCATATCTTAGCTATTGTAAATAGTGCTACAATAAACATAGGGGTGCATATGTCATTTGAATCTGAGAAATTACATTCTTCAGGTAAATTCCTAGGAGTGCAATTCTCAGATCAAATGGTATTTCTATTTTCAGTTTTTTGAAGAATCTCCATATTACTTTCCACAATGGTTGAATTAGCTTACATTTCCACCAGCAGTGTAGGAGGGTTCCCCTTTCTCCACATCCTTACCAACAATTGTTCTTAGTCTTTTCGATACTGGCCATCCTAACTGCTATGAGGTGATATCTTATTGTGGTTTTAGTTTTCATTTCCCTGATAATAAGTGATGTGGATTCATTTCCCTGATAAAAAGTGATCTTTTCATGTGTCTGTTGCCATCTGAATTTCTTCTTTGGATAATTGTCTGTTCATATCCTCTGCCCATTTTTTAATCAGGTTATTTTCTTTTTGGGTATTGAGGCATGTGAGTTCTTTATATATTTTGAATGTTAACCCCTTGTCGGATATGTCATTTACAAATACATTCTCCCATACTGTAGGATGCCCTTTTGTTCTGTTGATGGTATCCTTTGATTTACAGAAGCTTTTAAGTTTGATGTAGTCCCGTGTGTTCATTTTTGCTTTTGTTTCCCTTGCTCGAGGAGATGCATTCAGAAAAAAGTTGCGCATGTTTATATTCAGGAGATTTTTGTCTAAGTTATCTTGTAAGAGTTTTATGGTATCATGACTTACATTCAGGTCTTTGATCCATTTCAAGTTTACTTTTGTGTATGGGGATAGACAATAATCCAGTTTCATTCTCTTGCATGTAGCTGTCCAATTTTGACAACACCATTTGTTGAAGAGGCTGTGATTTCCCCATTGTATGTCCATGGCTCCTTTATTGTATATTAATTGACCATATATACTTGGGTGTATATCTGGGCTCTCCAATCTGTTCCATTGGTCTATGGGTCTGTTCTTATGCCAGTACCAAATTGTCTTGATTATTGTGGCTTTGTAGTAGAGACTGAAATTTGTAGTAGAGCTTGAAGTTGGGGAGCATAATCCCCCAGCTTTATTCTTCCTTCCTATTGCTTTGGCTATTCGGGGTCTTTTGTGGTTTCGTATGAATTTTAGAATTATTTTCTCTAGTTTGTTGAAGAATGCTCTTGGTATTTTGATAGGGATTGCATTGAATCTGTAGATTGCTTTAGGCAGGATGGCCATTTTGACAATATTAATTCTTCCTATCCATGAGCATGGGATGTATTTCCACTTATTGGTGTCTTCTTTAATTTCTCTCATGAGTGTCTTGTAGTTTTCAGGGTATAGGTCTTTCACTTCCTTGGTTAGGTTTATTCCTAGGTATTTTATTCTTTCTGAGGCAATTGTGAAAGGAATTGTTTTCCTGATTTCTCTTTCTGCTAATTCATAGTGTATAGGAATGCAACAGATTTCTGTGTATTAATTTTATATCCTGCAACTTGGCTGAATTCAGATATTATTAGTTCTAGTAGTTTTGGAGTGGATTCTTTAGGGTTTTTTATGTACAATATCACGTCATCTGCAAACAGTGATGGTTTGACTTCTTTACCAATCTGAATGTCTTTTATTTCTTTGTGTTGTCTGATTGCTATGGCAAGGACCTCCAGAACTATGTTGAATAAAAGTGGATAGAGTGGGCATTCTTGTCTTGTTCCTGATCTTAAAGGAAAGGTTTTCAGCTTCTTGCTGTTAAGTATGATGTTGGCTGTGGGTTTGTTGTATATGGCCTTTATTATGTTGAGGTACTTGCCCTCTGTACCTATTTTATTGAGAGTTTTTATCACGAATGGATGTTGAATTTTGTCAAATGCTTTTTCGGCATCTATGGAGATGATCATGTGGTTTTTGTCCTTCTTTGTGTTGATGTGGTGAATGACGATGGATTTTGAAATGTTGTACCATCCTTGCATCCCTGGAATGAGTCCTACTTTATCATGATGGATGGTCTTTTGGATGTATTTTTGAATTTGGTTTCCTAATATTTTGTTGAGTATTTTTGCATCTATGTTCATCAGGGATATTGGTCTGTAATTTTATTTTTTTGTGGTGTCTTTGCCTGGTTTTTGTTTTAGAGTGATGCTAGCTTCATAGAATGAGTTTGGAAGTAATCCCTCTTCTGCTTTTTGGAAAACTTTAAGGAGAATGGGTATTAGGTCTTCACTAAATGTTTGATAAAATTCAGCAGTGAAGCCTTTTGGTCCAGGGATTTTGTTCTTGGGTAGTTTTTTTATTACCATCAATTTCATTGTGAGTAATTGATCTGTTCAGATTTTCTTTTTCTTACTGGGTCAGCCTTGGAAGATTGTACTTTTCTAGAATGTAGTCCATTTCTTCTAGGTTATCCAGTTTGTTAGCATATAATTTTTCATAGTATTCTCTCACAATTCTTTGTATTTCTGTGGTGTCCATAGTGACTTTTCCTTTCTCATTTCTGAATCTGTTTATGTGTGTAGACTCGCATTTTTTCTTGATAAGTCTGGGTAGGGGTTAATCTATTTTGTTTATTTTCTTGAAGAACCACCTCCTGCTTTCATTGATTCTTTCTATTGTTTTATTCTTCTCGGTTTTATTTATTTATGCTCTAATCTTTATGATGTCCCTCCTTTTACTGATTTGGGCCTCATTTGTTCTTCTTTTTCTAGTTTCCTTTATTGTGAGTCTAGACTGTTCATATGGGATTTTTCTCCCTTCCTGAGGTAGGCCTGTATTGCAGTATACTTCTGCTTAGCACAGCCTTCACTGCGTCACACAGATTTTACAGTGTTTAATTATTGCTGTCATTTCTCTCCATATATTGCTCAATCTCTGTTTTTATTTGGTCATTGATCCATTGGCTATTTAGAAGCATATTGTTAAGCCTCCATGTGTTTGTGGGCTTCTTTATTTGCTTTGCATAATTTATTTCTACTTTCATACCTTTGTAGTCTGAGAAGGTGGTTGGTACAATTTCAATCTTTTTTAATTTACTGGGGCTCTTTTTGTGGCCTAGTATATGATCTATTCTTGAAAATGTTCCACATGCACTTGAAAAGAATGTGTATCCTGTTGCTTTAGGGTGTAGAGTTCTGTAGATGTCTGTTAGGTCCATCTGTTCTAATGTGTTTTTCAATGCCTCTGTGTCCTTACTTATTTTCTGTCTGCTTGATCAGTCGTTTGGAATGAGTGGAGTGTTGAAGTCCTAAAATGAATGAATTGCATTCTATTTCCCCTTTAACTTTTGTTAGTATTTGTTTCACATTTGTAGGTGCTCCTGTGTTGGGTGCATAGATATTTATAACGATTATAGCCTCTTGTTGGACTGACCACTTTATCATTATGTAATGTACTTCTTTGTCTCTTTTGATTTTCTTTGTTTTACTTTAAAGTCTACTTTGTCTGATAGAAGTACTGCAACACCTGCTTTTTTCTCCCTATTAGTTGCATGAAATATCTTTTCCATCCCTTCACTTTTAGTCTGTGTATGTCTTTGGGTTTTAAGTGAGTCTCTTGTAGGCAGCATATCGTTGGGTCTTGTTTTTTATCCATTCAGTGACTCTGTGTCTTTTGATTGGTGCATTCAGACCATTTACATTTAGGGTGATTGTCGATAGGTATGTACTTATTGCCATTGCAGGCTTTAGATTCATGGTTACCAAAGGTTCAAGGGTAACTTACTTACTATCCAAGAGTCTAAGTTAACTCACATAGTATGCTATTACAAACACAATCTAAAAAAATGTTTTCCCCTTTTCTTCCTCCTCTATTCTTTAT